TAGGGTGGCCGGTGGTCGAGAATAATGACGGAGTGACGGCCTAAGGAGGGGATACGTCTCAGGAGACATCCATCGCAGAGCCGGAGCAGCATAGGGTGCTCGATGGATTATTGCATCGCAGGGAGGGTGGCGGATTTACGAGGCCTTCAACATGGCTCATGATGGTGATGATGGCTATGTAGAATGTGAGTCTCAATCGAGTACTTTTCATCGTTTTTAATGTTTACATATTTGATCTTTAAACGCGCAAGCATAATTCACTTTTTAATAGCAACAGAAGGCATGCTGCCCACGCAACTTGCAAGAGCACACCGGTTTTTTTTCTTCATGAAACACTGAAAGTTATCTGATTAAAGTGTCACCCATAACAGAAAAGTTAAAGTTACACTGCATTGGATCAGATTAAATGTGCATATCCTGCTTTGTATACAGATACACTATCGTATGTTTGTGTCTATGTGTTTAAGAAAAAAAAAGAAACCCCTTTTTTTAGTTGTGTATATGGCTAAGATAAATCAAGGAGCACTGCACTTTTCATCACAGTTGAATGTGGCTCGGTGGAATCGCTGCTCATGAGAGCGCGGAGACACGATGGCTTTGACTGTTACCATCGCTGGCATTGCAAGTGCTGCTTGCACTCGCACCAGCATCATCTGATTTGCCTTCATCTCAGGCCCGTGCGTGATACCCCAGTGTGCCCCCGGTGCTCATGTCCACACAACGAAGGCAGCACACCAGCTGTGGAAATGCACGCATCCCGTTGTAGAATGGGTAGAGAGAGAGCGGCAGTGTGCGTATATGATTTAGGTCAGGCAGCTCTGTGTAAGTTACATTATTTCAGGCATATAGTTATGAGAGTCCTCAAATAAGCAACTTGCATTGAAACATTCCAAATTGGGCATTACATTATGATACGTTTAAAATCTTGAGTAACCAGCAATCAGAGACCGACTATGTTTCTAAAGTACGACCAGTGTTGCCCCCCCCCCCTCCGGTGAGTCGTCACTCCACGTGCTGTGTGCGTGTGGAGTGTCGGTTTCACTTGAATAGTCATACTTTAAACAGTCGAACACATACACATAACTGCAGTACAATAGGCACATGCAAAGTGAAATCCTCATTACCAGATAAAATCACCAGAATGCGTCTGGATGAGTCTGTGTTGCGATTGTAGTCACCCCTACACGTGTCTGGGTCAAGATAACACCGTTCACATCGAAACATCTTAATTTTTACGAATGAAACAAGATCCACACTGCGTGCTAATTCGTGTGGCTGTTGACACACTGATCAATATCACACTGGCACCCGGATTCAACTTACCTGCAGTTGTTGCTGCTGTTGTAAACAGCATTCGAAACACAACAAATTCAGCAAGCAAACATGTTTTTGAGACATCTAAAGTTGTGGGTAGACTCAGCCCATCACCCTTCCATGGTTGATAAACTGACTAGCATTTTGTGAGAAGCCTAAAGTTGTTATCCTTATGGTGTGACTGGCCCCACCGTAGGAATATAGCCACTCCACATTCCGACGGTGGACCTGAAAGGCAATCGCCCACTTATGAGACTCGTGGTCATATTTTCTAGCCAACGCTTTTTTTTCCTCTCACACGTTTCACATCTCCAGTCGAGCAGAACCAAACAAAGAATTGGGGGTGTGGAAATTGAAGACTCGTGCCATTAACTGATGGATCCTCAAGGAGAGCCTTGCTTGGGGTTTAAGTGTGCGTCAGTATATATATTCTATTCGCGTTAAGCTTACACGTTTGCAGTTTTTACCATCAATTTCACATAGCGTCAACAATAGCCCTCTTTTTAAATGTAAAACAATCGTTCTGTGCTACCTTTTTTTGAAAATGAAACCTTTACAAAAAAACACCTCCATGATTTAGGTTATAATTTGTCAGTACTCAATTAATAACACCCGTTTGGTCTGTTTTATAAGATAGGTTGTTACTCAGAGATTGATTTCTCACTGAATATCGTCCTGGTCGCTGGGTGAGCGAGAGGAAGCTTGCAACTAATAGCCACAGCCACGGAATATTTTTTAAGTTTCGCCGACCATGATAGGCTTTGGCTGAAATGAATCCCCGGCTTTAGCATGCCCCAGGTATCTGCGTATTTCCGTCGAGGTGAAAGGGGCTGCTGGCTGCTGCTGCTGCTGTCGGCCTCCTCGGGGCGCGTCACACGCCGGGCAGTGATGGACTGTGCTGCCACCTCACGACCACACGCATCGCCTACTTCCAGTGACAACAACGAAACTCCGTCAAGCAAACGCGTCGCGCGGCACGTGGCCACCGGTGGCTTGACCAATTAGAGGCGCTATTTGCGCGCGCTGTTTCAGTGGAAATGTGAAGCAAATCAATGTGCAATTCGTTGCATTCTGAATGCATTCGTTCAATATTAGGTGGCGTATCTGGTTGTGGGGGGGTGTTGGGCGGGGGTGTTGGGGGGGGTGTTAGGGGGGGGGGTTGGGGGTGTTGGGGGGGTTGTGGGTGGGGGTTGGGGGGGTGTTGAGTGGGGGGAGGGGTTGTTGTGGGGTATTGGGGGGTGTTGAGGGGGGGGGGGTGTTGGGGGGTATTGGGGGTGTTGAGGGGGGGGGGGGTTGAGGGTGTTGAGGGGGTGTTGGGGGCTATTGGGGGTGTTGAGGGGGGGTTGAGAGTGTTGAGGGGGTGTGAGGGGGGTGTTGGGGGGGGGTGTTGGGGGGGGCTGTTGTGGGGTATTGGGGGTGTTGAGGGAGGGGGGGGCTGTTGTGGGGTATTGGGGGTGTTGAGGGGGGGGGGGTGTTGGGGGGTATTGGGGGTGTTGAGGGGGGGGGGGTTGTGGGTGTTGAGGGGGTGTGAGGGGGGTGTTGGGGGGAGTGTTGGGGGGTATTGGGGGTGTTGAGGGGGGGGGGGTGTTGAGGGTGTTGAGGGGGGGGGGTTGAGGGGGTTGAGGGTATTGGGGGGTGTTGGGGTGGGGGTGGGGGTTGGGGGTGTTGGGGTGGGGTTGGGGTGGGGGTGGGGGTGTTGGGTGGGGTGGGGGTTGGGGGGTGTTGGGGGTGGGGGTATTGGGGGGTGGGGGCTTCCCGCCCGCCGGCCCGCGCACCTCGCGCGGCCCCGGACCGAGCGTGCGACGACCGGGGGGCCTCGCGCGGCGTCTCGATGCGACGACAAGACGCGACACAGTCGCACGCGTGCTTCGTGCTCTGTGTGCCCTCATGCTTGTTGTAGTACACCTCGTGCTGGAGATGAATGTTATCATGGGACCTCCTTTGCCAGTGTCAAAATATAAGAAAAGGTTTTCCCCTTTTTCTAGCAACAAAACATGTGTTAAGATGTTAAAACACCAAACTGAAACCTTTTGCAAGGAATCGTGTCTGCATCAACCACAATACTTGGAGCCTAAATTTCGATTTAAAGCTTTCGTGACTGCAGGGATTCATCTTCTTGGTTCTTTCGGTAAAGTCACGTAGAAGGGAAATAATAAAAATAAAACATAATAAAATAAAAATTCTCACGACGTTTCGGCCACAACACAAGCAGCCGTCATCAGGTGAATACACAGAGCTGCCGAGAACCAAGAAGACTTGGAGTTTTGTTGCCAGAAAAAAGGGGAAACCCTCTTCTTATATGTTGACACTGGCAAAGGAGGTCCCATGATGTAGCTGCTCACCCCGAGCTCCGATTACTCTGATAGTGGCTTTGTCTTTGTGCTGTTCGCCTTTTGGCGTCCTCTGGTCTAACACCGTGTGAGACGAGGCTCAAAAGAAAGCTGTCTCTGGTGTGGACCAATCAATTTCAAAGACAATGCTTAGATTATCAGTGTGTTTTTTTTATTTGCATTCTGACCACAAGTATTGTGGTTGACGCAGACATGATTCATTGTTAAAGGTTTCAGTTTGGTGTTTTAACATCTCAACACCTGTTTTGTTGCCAGAATAAAGGGGAAAACCTATTCTCATATTTTGTCACTGGCAGAGGAGGTCCCATGATCACTCCCCTGTCATTACCTCCCGTGGCCGCTAGTCCGCTCACACCGCAGGTTCAACGCTACTGTCATCACAGCAGGTTGCTGATGGTGACGACGACGATGATGATGATGGTTCTAGATTTGAAGCTTTCGTGACTGCAAGGATTCATACTCTTAGGTTCTTTCGGTAAAGTCACGTAGGTAAAAAAAGAATAATACATTTAAATAATAAATTAAAATAACTAAATTACGTATTATCATTTTATTATTATATAATAAAATAGTAATAAATGAAAATAACTAAAATTGTATTATTATATATTAAAATAATAAATGAAAAGAACTAAATTATTTATTATTTTACTATTATTCTTTTTTTACCTACGTGACTTTACCGAAAGAACCTAAGACGATGACGATGTTGGTGGTGTTGGTGGTGGTGTTGGTGGTGTTGTTGCTGGTGGTGTTGTTGGTGGTGTTGGTTGTCTTTGTTGTTGGTGGTGGTGTTGGTGGTGGTGTTGTTGGTGGTGTTGTTGGTGTTGTTGGTTGTCTTTGTTGTTGGTGGTGGTGTTGGTGGTGGTGTTGTTGGTGTTGTTGTTGGTGTTGTTGGTTGTCTTTGTTGTTGGTGGTGGTGTTGGTGGTGTTGGTGTTGTTGGTTGTCTTTGTTGTTGGTGGTGTTGGTGGTGGTGTTGTTGGTGTTGTTGGTTGTCTTTAGTGGTGGTGGTGGTGGTGGTGGTGTTGGTGGTGTTGTTGGTGGTGTTGTTGGTGGTGTTGTTGGTGGTGTTGGTTGTCTTTGTTGTTGGTTGTCTTTGTTGTTGGTGTTGTTGGTGGTGTTGTTGTTGGGTGTTGTTGTTGGTGGTGTTGGTGTTGTTGGTGTTGTTGGTGGTGTTGTTGTTGGGTGTTGTTGTTGGTTGTCTTTGTTGTTGGTGGTGTTGGTTGTCTTTGTTGTTGGTGTTGTTGGTGGTGGTGTTGTTGGTGTTGTTGGTGGTGGTGGTGTTGTTGGTGTTGCGAGTGAGGCGTCTTGTGTGCTGCCCCGAGCCGTTGAGAGCCGTTGCTGCTGTGCGCGTTCCGGGGCCCCCGGGCACCACGAGCTGCGCTGAACGACGACCCCGCGACAATTCTCCCCTCGTCATCATCGTCGTCGTCGTCATCGTCAGCGATGTGAATGTTTGTGATTGTTGTTGTTATTGTTGTTGTTGTTGTGCGCTATCGCTGCAATGCCGGTGCCCGTGTTGTGCTGCGCGCAGCTGCGGTGAAGCAGACCGCGAGTAGCGAATCTCGCGTTTCCACCCGAGTGCAAGAACACGGCTAAACGCATTATTATTTATTATTCATTGTTGTTGTTACTGTTGCTACTACAGCACGCAGCTGTTGTTAACTGCTGCAGCATCGATGTGCAATGCTACATTAGCACGCGTCAGTATTGCGACGACGTAACACGAAATCGATTAAAGCGTCAATCGCGTTGCCGTTCCACCAACGTCATCCAACAGGAGGCGAATTGCTTAATCACCTCCACACACATATATACACAGTATATTAACATCGCGTATAAAGCTGCAAATATCATCACCTTGACATCCACAATACAGGTGTTCTTATTGTTGGGTAGTACAACACACCGGTGTTCTGTACTTTTCTCCACAGATCTGGCTGCCGCCTGAGTGAGCTCGTTGTAATTACTGGCGAAACATCGGACTCGGATTGTATTTTGTTGTCAATGTGCTCTCCAACACACCGGTGTTGTGTACTTGTCGCGAATTTACACGTTTTGTTTACGTGACAAACCTTACTAATATCGGCCATGGCGGGTGGTGGCGGGATTTGACGACACAACATTTGTATTTACGCCATCTAACCCCAACAAAAACCCTGTGTTATGGATGATACTTAGCCTACTAAGTGTTAAACCACCTTGCCATACGAGAGCAGCAGACTACAGACAGCCCTTGCTTCGCGTACGGATAGTTTGGGTATCGTAACGCAGCACGATATTATAATGCATTGGTTTAATGTCTCCACGAATTTTTATATTTTTAGTGAATTATTCCGTGCTTCTGCCTGCGATCGAATCGGGTCGAGACGCTGGCCCCGTCTCGCAAGCTAAGCAAGGGCTTGAGCCTGGATGAGATGCTTGGATGGGTGAACACTGCGTAACAGCTGCTATAGGCTGCTGCGGGGCAGCAGAGGGCAGAGCAACAAGGCGCACTTGTTGTACTGGACTTCTATGCTCCCACGCCAACGATTCCCCTCATTGACCACCGTGGTGAAGTATGGTCAAATAACCAACACAACCGGCATCGTGTGGGAAGGGCTCTCATCCAGCAGTAGATATATACATCACTTCGTAGTTGAGGAACTTTATTGCATTCTGTAATATTGGCACCACGTTTAAAGCATATTCGTTGCCTCTCCTGCAGTATTTAATAATGGTATTTCCCCCTCTAACATATGTTAGCGGTGACAACAACAAAAACTGGTAGAAGAACTTAACGTTTCAGGTGATTTAACAGAGTTCACTGGCAAGGGTCGTCTGTGATGGACATGGTGTGTGTGTGTGTGTGTCCTGCGCTCTCCTGGCAGGCAGCAAGAGCAGCAGCAGAAGGAGAAATCCCTGCAACTGTCACCGGCTCCAAGGGCTCTTGAGCCGTGACAACACACGGGGTAGGGTGGCTGGGTGAGCCCCGTGAATTATTGACGAGTGCCTCTCATCATCAGCTGTGCTAAAGGCGGAGATTTATTTCCTTCTTGGCACGAGGACGTCGCTAGATTGCTGAATATGCGGAGGAGGAACGGCGCTGGCACTTGAAAATGAGTGGACGCCAGTAGGCGGGACAGCAAGTAGGATTGTGAACTTCTCTGTGCCCCAAAACTTGTGTGGCTTTTCCCTGCAAGGTTTTTTTTTTTATAGAAATTTTATTTCTGTTCCCGTAGTTCCCTGTGGTAAATGACTGGAGTCTTATTACCCGTGTTATTTCCTGACGCCCCATAGTCTGAATCCCATTCGGCTCGGCTCTCTTTGCCACGCTTTAAGTCAAGGCTCAAGACTTTGCCTTTTTATACGACTGACGACTACTTCTCTATAATATAAATATCGCGACTGTGTACAGCTTATTTAGATCCGTTCACGTTTAGATGCTATTTATATCCTAATTGTATGTACAGATGCAGAATTAAAATATATTATTGATACTGTAGAAATTTGGTGAGCTGCAAAGCTCTTTTTCACTGATGTCCAGTATGGGTGGGTCACCAAATTTAAATGGCCGTACTGTATGTTAACAATGATGCGCTAGAGCTTGCTGTTACAGCTTGTCTTCTTCTGCTTAGAGCCCCACGAGCCATGGCGAGTGGGTTGGAAGTGCCTGGACATTTGTACGGGGGGGAAGAGGAGGAGGATGAAGAGAAGAAGGAGGGGTCAGACAGGCAGGACGCTGTGGGAAGGACTCGCCCCAGCCCAAGGGGTGGCAGCGAACAAACGAGCAGCACCAGCGACACCTTCGCGTCGAATGCCAGTGGCCTGTCCCTGGGCGAGACCATTGCACGCAGCGCCTGCCAGGTAACCGGTGCTGACGATGCGAGTCGTGCGGTCTGCCCGGCATGTGCGTTTGTGGTAGAAAGATGTCCTTTGTCGCAGCTCGGATATGCAATTGATGAATTAAGGCGAAATGCGTTTGGTCATCGGCCTCGTTCTTTTGCTTTTTATCTTCTGTCATCAGAAGCAGCAGCAACAGCATTTACGATACACATTTCATCTGACGATTCAATGTTTTATGTTTAAAACACATTTTTTAAATGCATAGGTTTTACAATTTTCAGTTCAAGGCATGTCATTGCTTGAATGAACACCGATTAGCACTTATCTTCATTGGCTGTCTCAGCGATTTTACATTCCTGTGGTGGGTGCCAGTTTCTAATGAATGAAAAGGTTGCATAATTGATCACTGTCAGGGAGTTGATGCATTGAGTCGATCTCTGTGATAGAAAACGCAACATTCTCATTGCGAGTCAGACGCTCTAACGATGCCAGCCAGCCAGATGAAATGTAATGAGTTGTACGCGTATGTCTCTGTGTGTGTTTGTGTCCATGCATCTGCACCAGCGCTCCGATGTTTGGTTCCCACTGGAGATGGAAGCCGACACGAGCAACGGAGAGGAGAAGACTATTGCAGAGAGAGACAGCTTCTTGACCAGTGGCCAAGCCGTGGCCATGAGCCAGGGCTCCTGGCCTGCTCATCCAGTGAGCAGTGCTCAACTCGGTGAGACTGAGGCAGGGGGAGTCTGTTATCCAGGGCCAGTGCAGAACTCCTGTGAACACCACCAGTCCCTTATGCAATTGTGATCACATTTTGTAAATTTCTACCGGAAACCGTGTACTCACAAGTTAAAGTGTCCCCATGCTTTAGCCGTTGCTCATCTCTTTTGGCATTCCTGAACCATTGGTGGAAACTGCACATTCCCATGGCAGTAACCAGTTGCACTATATTACTACCACTGTTGTTGACTTCCCACAAAGTGATACGTTATTGTTGCATGAGGGAGGATGGGGCAAGCCCACTCCAAACCATTGTGAGCCATGCGCCTTTTTTCCTGTGTCACCCTAGCATATTGGAGACAGCCCCTGTCATGGGATGTGAACTGCCACCCGTGGATCAGGGGCACCAATGCACAACTCGAATAACGCAATTATCCTAAATATGGCCACATTTTGAGTACACTGTCAGTACACTCCTCATTCGATGGTCTTGCAGAAGACGCATTTTATTCTCAGTGGCTCTTGCCCGGTCATACATAACCTGGTTTCATCTTCTTGGTTCTTTCGGTAAAGTCACGTAGAAGGGAATTAATAAAATAATAATACAACAATAAAATACAATTCTCACGACGTTTCGGCCACAAAGCAAGCAGCCCACGACGTTTCGGCCACAAAGCAAGCAGCCGTCCTTAGGTGAAGAACAGGTCTGTCGGAAGAACAGTGTCTGAATGAAAACCACCAAGCTTGGCAGCGTATATTTAAGCTGGGTTAGAGAAGGAAGGGCGCCTTGACAAAGGAATTTATTATTTTATTATTTCCTTTCTACGTGACTTTACCGAAAGAACCAAGAAGATGAATCCCTGCAGTCACGAAAGCTTTAAATCGAAATATAACCTGGTTTGTTACTTGCAGAGGAGCAGGACAGTCTTCTGTCGCCAGTGCTGCCTCTGCTGGTGACGGCGCTGGATGGGGACGGTGCTGTCGGTTCCGCCCTGGTGCAGCGCTCGGTGCAGCAGCGGCATTCCGAGTTGGAGTTTACTTGCCTGCGGTAATCATCCCTCGTCCTCGTCCTGTAATGATATCTTAATATTGAGTTTTTGCACTTGTAAAACTTCATTTGTGAACAAATATACTCCCCGCACACAGAGATCACTCTGTTGTTCTAATAGACTGTCATAGCAGTAGTTGTTAAGCATGCATTAAGGCTGGCATGATGCATACGCACACACACAGACACACATTTACATCATTTCACATCATACAGGACTAGTAATGCAGGTGGTACTTGATTCTCATCTTGTTCTCTTGCAGGGAGAGCATTGCAAGCACAGACTTCACTTTCGAAGGCTACTCAACCAATCGTGAAGTGGAGAAAATGTCACTGAGTGATTCCTCGAGCGTGGAGGCAGTCAAAGAGTTGCGTTTCCCGGAGAGTGCCAGACTCACCACGTCCCAGCACCCGTCAGCTGTATCGCAGTGTCGCCCATCTGCCCATGAGCTCCAAGCTAGCTGGAGTGCGTACGGTGAAGCAGACAGCTCGGTCTTCTGTTCCCTAACACAGCACGCCATCTCACCTGGCACTGACAGTACGGAGTGGAGCCCCAGAGGTCACCTCTCAGAGCATACCAAGCTGCCAGGGTCGTGCTCCAGTATGCACGCCGAGTTATCCCTGTCCCAACATCCCATCGCGGGCGCGAGCTTCGATGGCCGCCAGCCGGAGGAGGACACAGAGCGTCTCCCTGGGCTGCCAGAGGAGCCATCTCAGGAGAGCGAGTGGCGGGAGGAAGAGTCGCCGTCATCGTCGCGTGGCATTGCGGGTCCGTCACGAGCTCCGATGGACGATAAACCCAGCAGCTCGGCACACGAAGAGTCACGCGGTGGCGTGCAAAATGAAGCGGGCATGCAGAGGGAGCGGTACTTGCAGGCAACAAGGTTTGCGTACCTGGGTCAGGAAGAACCTCCAGCTGATGACGCCTTACTTGCACCATCCTGTGTTGGCGCTGAACTGTCAAAAGCTGGAGTGGATGACACTGGCTGCCGGTTTGCCAGCACCCAGGTCGGATCCACCAGCGAAGCCGGATCCCTCACGCGGAACGTCATCGGGGGTAACGCAGACAACGATACGGACTCCCCCAGTTTAATAGGCACCATGGATCCGGAGTTGCTGACTGAGGAAGATAAAAGGCAGATATCTGCCATAAAACATCTCGTCTTGCGAGGTGCGAGCGTGCCGATGCAGGGCTATGTTCCCGAGGGAAACAGTGAGTCATTCCCACAGGTGAACTCATCCGATTGTGACACCAACAGGCACTGGGGCCAGATTTACGATCGTAGCTTGCGCTATAAGACAATGGCTTTAGCTGCCAGCTTTTCGAGGACCACCTGTGTCACCGACTCTTGGTTGGAGGGGTCGTTGCTGATCGCCAGCAGTGACCCCAACGAGAGCCACCGTGAAGAGCGCTCGGAGCGAAGTGTGCCGAGCGGGGCAGAACCTGATGACGCAAACATCGACGGTGCAGATGCGGGAGCCGTCGAGGCCTCTGGCAACAATCGCTCGTCCCCACTGGCACGCGGCTCCTTCTCCCTGGCCCTGTCGACTGTGGGGGCTTTCTCATTGGGCCAGCTCGGTGACATCTCTGCGGAGCAGGATGTGGATGCTTTGGTCTCCGCACGTTCCTGCGGTCCAAGCCAGACTGGGAATCAAACCCCGGCTCTGTCAACGGCACGATCGCAAGCCAGCCTCGAGGTGGACAACTACACGCCACCGTGGACCAGCACTGGCTACGGCACAGGCAACCAGGAGTTCGACATAGAGCAGCGCATCCCTGTACGGGTTTCACTCACACAACAATACTCACTGAATTACTCACCACTCACTTGCTCACTCAATTGTTTATGAATCACTGGTTTAGTAAACACCCTCAATTACTACTTACCTACTCTTTCCCTAGCTCACTTACTCATGTATTTAATTATTGCTGTATTCATTTTTCCATCAGGCATATGCTGTGTGTTTATGATTGAGAGGAATTGCCTGTGACAAACATCAAAACAAATGCATATTTATGATTTTAACATTCTTTGGAAATTCATAACAATTGATAAGCTAAAGCAAGACATTCTTGATTTGAAGCTTTCGTGACTGCAGGAATCCATACTCTTTGGTTATTTCGGTAAAAGTCACGTAGGTAGAATAAATATTAGATCACGACATTTCGATCGCAACACAAGCGACCGTCTTCAGGTGAGAGAGGGAAAGCTACTGTCAGTAGCGATCGAAACGTCGTGATCTATTCTTTTTTCTACCTACGTGATTTTACCGAAATAACCAAAGAGTAAAGCAAGACATATTTCTCAAAATTATGCCGTTTTAGATATTCATTTAAAACGCTGGAGGGCAACAGAACGAAACCAAGTGCAACATCTTGAGAGTTATAAGTGGAGTGGGACAAATGTTTCAAGCCGGACTATGAGTCTGCTTTGCGAGGCATTTGGAGTCAGCATATAATGCACAGCATCGGTACAGGACACACAGCGTTGGTATTAAATGTCCTCCCTAAAGTTCGGACAGAATGCAATCCGTGCTAAGAAACTCGAAATCCATACGCGAGTTTGTGTTTTCATTGTTGGGCTATCGGCGCCCACCCCTGCCACCGTGTCTCAGGTTTACTTACGGAACCTGGGCATCGAGCAGCCGCCGTCCATGACGGGAATGCCGGACGGCCGGGGCCCTCTGTGTGAGCGTGACTACTCCCCCTCGGAGCTCACCACCGTCAAGGACTTTGGGCTCAGCTCGGCATCTGACGGAGTGGCGTCTAACGGTACGCGGCGCGGCCCCATCATGGCACGGGGAAGCGGTGTGGCGCGTGGACGGTGGAGAGCAGTGACTTGAATACGATTTGCGCTGGGGCCCTGGTGCTGCCGCCTAGCGGAGGAACGGAACGCCCTGCCACGGTCACCTTTGACACTGCCTTAAAATGCAAAAAACATCGCCTTTAAAATAGACAAAGCAATTGAATGGCTAAATCACTTAGAACTGAATCTCTCAGTTGCTCTTCCTATGGCCATACAAAAAAAATAGGAAAGAATGTAATTAGTAAGCCAAAGGTATTGGGAAATTGCCTTTTTAAAATAAAATGGTAAATATGTAGACTTATGTTTGGTGAGATAATTTTACCTCTTGTAATATACAGTGTCTATACTTGGCAGTGTGGTGCGCACCGTATGTAGCCAACCGTGCCATTTGGAGGTGCGGGGTATCATCGGCAAATTGCAAGTTGAAACCTCAATGAGATGTCAGCTCAGTAATTGTCCCTCTATTCTCAATACAATTGCTATCACTTTAGGGGAAGTTAGCATTGCTTGTCCTGACTCAGCAGCTACTCCTCATAGAAATGAGTATCTACTGCTCACTTAGGAACGCGAAGAGAGATGAGAGCCACCCCAAGGTTGTCTTAGCAGGGAGATTGCTTGATTTTCTTGACAGCGTCAACCGATATAGCCACTGAAATAGAAAACAAATCCTGTTGCGTGTTGTTGTTCTTACAGGTGCTGATGGGTCACTGGGCAGAGGCTCTGGCTACAGCCTACGCTCAGAACTTGGCCAAAGCACTTCCCTCGTCTTGGATTCCGACTCCTCCCTCCGCCTGTCGTCCTCTCTCACAAGGTCTCAGGCCAGAGCCACCAATGAAGACTCTGAAGCAGCTCCTGGGGAGTCACCGGAAGGGTCTGGAAAGAGCCGCTCCTATCTCTTGTTACTGGATGACGTAGCTAAGGGACACTCGCAGCAAGAGGTCAAGCAGTCTGTGAGAGTGAGGGCTCCTGCGTGTTCTGAACGTGAAGCGGACACTGTGCTGAGCATGGAGGATCTGGACAACCGAAGGGGCGACCTAAGCAGCACGCCTTCGAGGCTACAGGACCGCGTGTGTGAATTTGGGAGCATTGGCCTAGCTGGTTACTCTGGCCCAGCCAAGAGTTCGGAATTTGAAAAGCCCTCCTACCGTGCTCACGCTGGATATTTTTCTGAAGACAAGGGCAGTGATGCTCAGGGGGAAACCTGGCCTGGCAGCCAGTCCACGGAGCCAGCGGAGAGCCAAGTGAGTGATTCGATGATTGGAACGAAGACTGTGCTGGGAATTCAGAAACTATTACGGGACGCGGGGACTTATGATCACAGCACCTTCGACGCTTCGTGTGCAAGCAATGAACAAGACATTCTAAAATCACTGCGCACAGATGGCAGGACAGGGCCAAGCAACAGCCATGAGCTTCAGCCCGAGGTTGACCGTGCAGTAATTTTAGATGGAAAAGCTGAGTTTGACAAAACCAGCACATTTAGAGGTAAGATTCCCCCGACGGAGCAACATTACCAATCGTCTTTCTTTCCAATTGGCCAGGATGATCATGGCAGCGTAGAGCATCCCAGACCGGGTGTAGCAAAGGGGGCAGCTAAAGCTCGCGACGTGTCAAGTCCATTCGTACAGCCCAAATTAGATCTTCATTCTGCTGGGAAGAGTGAGCAGGACGTCGAGCGTCAAACCATACCAGGCTCGGCCAGACACGAGCCCGAAGGCTGCAGTGGAGCCACCACCGGCATCACCCCTCGGCCGCAGAGGGCACCGTCGAATCCCTCGCACGATGACAAGAGCAGCTCGTCTGGCAGGTCCTCCCGTGCTGACGTGGAACCACAGGCGCGGCCTCTGCAGAGCGGGACGGACGCCCCGAGGTCCGGCTACGGCAACGAGGGCGGGGACGATGACGACGTGATGGCGAGGGTGCGCGCAATCCTGCGGGGCGCGACGGAGCATGCTGGTCCACAGGAAGACTCGGACGGGAGCGTTGACGCCGGCACTACTGAGAGGCGCAGGCAAGGTGCGGGCGGCCTGCCGAGGAGTGCAAGTCCCTCAGTGGGAACGGCACCGCCACCGTCACAGTTTCATGAGCACACCGGCCTGCCTTCGCGTCAGGGCAGGGCTACTGTAGGGGATATGAGTGTAGGCTTCGGGCAGCCACTACCTCCACCACCATCACAGATCCATGCAGACATCGCGCCAGGGAGGCTCCGGAGTGAGGCTGACGCAGTGAGCATGGAGTCAGTGGTGCAGAGACTGGCAGTGCTTTTGAGCGACAATTCACCTGAAAATTTGTCTGAGGGCATCTACAGGAGAGCGGATGAGGAGGAGCAAAGAGCAAGAGGTGTTCATTTTGGTTTCTTGACATTTCACTAACGTCAATACCTATTTCATATAATTTTATTTTTTACGTTTGTTTATACAAATACCAGCAATTTATAAGGTACGTGGTACATGAAAATTACTCAATTGGGATTCCACATACTAACATCGCCCCCTACCTGAAACTACTTCAGACTATGTGAAACATGGCACCTTCGTGATAGCCTTGCTCTATAAGAATGACGTGAATCCCAAATGTACGAAGTTATTTGTTATAATTTATTAGTTTATGTTTCTGCATTTGTGGCTAATCCACACCCCCCCAAACCCCCTTGCACCTCAGAGCTGCCGACGAAGTTGAAGCTGGAGAGAGACGGTGCCGACCCCGCCTGGAGGAGCTCGCGTGGAGAGCCCACGTCCATGCAGAGAGGGGACCTGAGGTCCCCCTTCACGACGGGACACGGCCAGCACGAGCAGGTGTGCCGCGGTTATCATGTGCACTGTTAGACAGGTTCACTTGTGTTGGAGAATACTTCAATAAGACCGGTTGGTTTAGTGCTGAACTATTGCAAGGTTGCGAGTAGAAATCCAGATTAGGGGTCAACCCAGGTTATTATTATCCCTGCGTTGGAATTTTTAGTATCACATTGTCAGAGGTCAATGATGGTTGTCCTGTTGGCTTCTTCCATAGGAATTTGGAATATTCATAACTGGCTTTGGGCTGTCAGTGGCGCACTCCTCAAATGAGCAGTGCATCACTTGGGCTTGATAAGCCAATTTCCTTAAGTATTTGTACTTAAGTATTGGTAATATTTATTATTGAAAGTTAGAACTAATCCAATATGAGACTGCATTAAAGTAGAATCTGAGAGTGGATAATGAGGTTTGGTTAATGGAGTCAGTCGTCATGAAGAGCTGGATGTTGGCATGAAAGTGATTTTCAACATCTGGAGCGCTGTTTACCCATGGCGATGTGAAGTCATGGATTGATTAACAAAACTGGCTGAAAGATTGAAAGTTAGAACAAGCACTTAAACCATTGATAAGCGTAACTGCCTGATAGCATCGCAATAGGTGCACTGAGCTGTTTAACATGCAACCGTTTCCAACCTCCAACGTGCAACATAGCTTTCATGCGATGCAAAGTTAAAGTCTACTCAACATTTATAGCTCTGCCCCATGTTTCGCTGATGACGTTCTTGTATTGCACAACCCGTAGTCATTTAGTGCTTTGTCTAATAAGTAATTCCGCAATAGCGCTGAAGAATGCTCTGTGTGTCTGCCGCTGTCACGCCAGCCTTGACATTGTGTTTTTTTTACTGCAATGCCAGCTACTGTTTGCTTGGCACCTTTACATAGCGAGTTCATGTAGGTAGTAATTTGGTGGTAGAGTCGTTGGGGACTCGGGTCTGTGTGATGCTTTTTCTCCTAAAATACTAAATCCTTGAGGTTTCAAATGTCCCTTATGGTTTTGTGGCACTTATGGTTTTGTGTGGCGATCCTTCTGCTGAAAATAATTTTCTGCTTTGTGGGGAATTGCAATACTTGGTGCAAAAGGGAAACACTGAACACATTAATTCCTGATTTGTTTAGGAATAGGATCCTGCAGGAATGTATGAATAGAAAATAAATTGAGAGGTATGTACGTTGAACTTCTTTGCACACCGTACGTAGCCACTCGTTCTTATTGGAGGTGCGAGCAATGGTAGGTAAATCATTGCAGGCAATTTAGAAATAACTAATGTGCTGCTCATAAAGGAAATAATGAATTGTCAGACTTTGGAAATTGGCTCAACTATTGTCAACAATTGTGCAGGTTGAGGCGTTGAAAATGTAAGGAGTTCTGTTCACTGTGACTTCAAATAGCTAAACCTAATTTTCAAATTTGTCATAGGTTCGAAAGAGTGCTCAAACTCTCATAATATTTGTACAAAATATTCCTTTACGCTATGTACAAAAATGAATTGTGGTGCACGCTTGTCACTTTGATGCATATGTAGGATATTTTCATATCAAGCATCTTTACATGTTTGACTCTTTGGTTTTGTGCCTGCAGGGTGAAACTATAATATTAATAAACAATAGAAATCGCTTTTTTTAAACAACCTCACATCGCTTAAGTGGCGCGGCGTGCGTGCGTGCACTTCTCTTTAATTGTTAAACCTAAAATGTGTTTTTTAACTCGTCAACGGCGTCCGTCGACAAACGGCGTTGTTTGACGTTGGTGTTTGCACATAGAAACATGCTTTGGTTGTTAGCAACACCTGTCACTCGCGTATCTGGACAGCCCCCTATCAGCAACGGTCTCTCTTGGCTCCGTGCAGGTATTCCTAACTCACATTCGTATGCATCGGTGATCCGAAAGTATATGTATCGCTGCAAATACCGGGAGTACGCTTGCGCAGGTTTGGACATGAATGTACCCTTCATCTGGCGTGAATTTTTAAAAAGCTGCGCAAGTTCCCTAAAGTAAAACTGGTTTTATATCTCTATAACTGGTTTTATATCTCTAAAACAGTTTTTTACTGCAGAGAGTTTGCACGTAAAAAAGTACAGGCTCGGTGCTGTATGAAGCTCGCGTCTATTTGATGTGCTCTCCGTTTGATAGTCTGATTACATTTTTCATGTGTTCTCAAAACAAAAGGCAGCCGGTGCAACACAAATTTCACTGAATTATATATTTAGAATGTTCTCACAGTCCCACTCAATGCGTTTTCCTTGCTTCGTGTTTTACAGAGTGAGACAGACTCGGAGTCAGAGAGCGTTACCCTCACCCGGGTTTCTCACATCCTGTCCGAGGCGTCCGGATCCCAGCGCTTGGCGTCTCTGGATCTCAGCGTTATCGAGCCGGAACCGTTGAACGTCTTGCAGCGAGCTCGCCTCCGCATCGCGAGCCAACTCCAGCGTCTGTCAGACGAGCCTTTCGACTCGAGTGTGGGGTTGGCGAGAGTTGCACCCGGGCAGCAGCAGCAGCAGCAGCCGACCCTGCCAGACCCTCCCCGCCAACCCGTGCCTGGAGAGCAGCTTCCTTCCCAGCAATGGTCTCAGTCGAGGGTCTCTGATCACACGGGCGTGAGGGGTGGCATATCTGGAGAGCAGCCTCTCCTCGAGGAACAGAGTGAGAAGAGTGCTGCAGGACGCCGGGCAGACCAGAGCCGTCGGGGCAGTTGCAGGCTCCCGGATCGGCTGCCTGAAGATCGGAGCAGGGCCTCGGAGAGGTCCGTCGGGTTGACGGATGGGGAGCGAAGCGCTTCGTACGAGGACTGGGTGACGGACCGCTGCTTCAGGGCTGCCACTCTGGGCAGCGTGCCCCGACCTTCACCGTGGAACCAATGAGATTTCGGATTCTGGACATTCGAATGACAAGGTGTTTAGAGCGGAGCTAATAGACGTGATGGGAATGGCTGGCGAGAAGACACCACCTGAAGGGCATGAATATAGGAGGCCCATCTCATCCATCACCTTCACATCTAGGAAGCGCGGAGATTCGTCGCCTTCCACCCGCAGTCCGTCTCCGTCTACGGTGATCGCTGCCCAGACGCAGGTCTCCGCGGTGTCTCCAGAAAACCAGCCGTCGTCACGGGCATCACTCGTTCACACCCCCGTGCATTATGAACAACCGGCAGGATTGCGAGCGGAGCCCGGAGTTGAATATTTGATGGTTGCCAATACTCCCCCATCGAAAGATTTGCAAATTCCTGTTCCACTGAGTGGTGAGGACAAGTCGGGTTATTCAGATCATGGCCCCTCTCGCTTATCTGCCCGCTCAGCCCTCACTCACATGCACATTAAACTGTCGCCAGCCAAGGTTGGGCACTCATTGCCACCCACATCGACACCATCAGTCTTCTCTTCCGGCCTCCTCCACCGCCATTGTCACCGGCAAAAACAACGACAATGGCAGTGATAGTCATCTCGGTGGAGTGATAGCGCAAGGTGCACGGGGGCGTGCGAGTCCGTCAGGGTTCCGAGGCTCCGAGGCTCAAACACTCCAATTGAGGGCGACTGCAGGGCAGGAAGACACTCGTTCCCATCAGCACGCCTGCCCGGCAATGCAGCCCTCCTACAGCACTCACGAAGGCTCGCATCCCCCGGTGACGCATGGACAAGGCAATCCCCTCAGCTTTTCCTTCACCTTCGTGTCTTCAGCATCTGCACAGGGCACGGCCGGTAAAGTAGCACACTGTGATCTTAAGTGCACATGTGAGTCGACTTCCTGTGATTTAGCAATTCTTGTATTTACTTGAGAGCAGCGCTGTCTTAGCTCGTTTGAACGAACTGATTTTTTGACCGGGTGCAGTGGCACATCACTGTAATCCAGTGACATTGGAGGCCGGGTCAGTGGAATTCTGCTCAAATGAGAGCTTGAATGTGCGTGAGACAATCGGTGACAGGACAGTTAGATGTCTGTATGAGTGAGTACTGCTCAATATGAAGTTAGATTTTTTGCACTCTGTGGATTTTCTTATTTTACCTGATGAATCCTGAAATGAGAATAAGAATTTACCCAACATCACAAGCAGAAAATCTACCGAGAAAGCCTCGAGGCTCATTCCGATGTTCCTGGCCAAATATTTAGGAATTCTTCGACTCACAATGTCTTTCACGTTGCAGAAAGGCACTTTTTTTCTCATGATTAAGAGGAGCATGTTTTTTTGGTTGTTGCTTTATCTTATGCAATATACGTACGTGTTGCAGTCATCAAGGCAGCCAGTTTACCGTCCATTAGGCAGCAATCTTACAGCGCGTCCCAAGAACAAGGCCACTTGAACGTGGAAATTCGATGGATTAACGAGCCGCGAAGCGCACTCGTCAGCACCGCCGCTCGCGCCCCGCCGGTGCTCTATCTGGGCGATCGCTCGCCGCGCTTATGGCCACTCGACTGCCACAAATGCCACTTAGCCGAAATGGAGTTCTGAGGAACGCTGCCTTACGCAAGGTGAATTTTGCAGAAGCAGCTTATCCATAATGTTGCCGTGGTGGCTTTTTTTTTTCTTTGTGAAGAGCACCTTGGATTATTTGACAACTGTGTACACACAGCTTTTGTATGGGTGATAATTCTTGTTTCTGTTTTTATAGAAACACAACTGCCACTGTTTATCTTCATGTATACATTGATAAAAATGACCTGTGGTTTAAGTATTCGCCTAAGAATTTGTGTTATGTTTATAAACCTGGGTGGCACCGTAGTTAAAGTGCCAAACTCATACCTGTTCCTTTCAGGCCCCCACCATAGGAATGTGGAGTTCAAACCTTGGTCAAGCCATCAATAGATGTATGGGTTTGCGTAGTGGTTAGTTTACAACATGATTATTTTGACGACCTGGGTTCGATTTCTGGGTACAACAGATCAATGCCAGGTAGTTTCTTAAACTATACTATGCTCTCCTTACATCAATTCAGTCTTACAGGATTACCTGATGGAATGTGTTAACATCGACACTTCTGAGACATAGGTAGCCAGGAGTAATGCCAGTCATACTGAGCCCTCATGTTCTACTCGCTCATCGCGTATACCAACATGATCATTCCTTTAGGCTAAGCAATCTGTCTTTTAAACCATAATGCTGATGAGCCTGCTTATTATTTGTGGCCACGAGGCGCCACGTTACCTGGCGCAAGCATATGGAGATGTCGCCACCATTCGGTGACAAATGTGTTTTTTTAGCTGCATGTATGGATGTATGTTGAACTTCTTTCGCACCGTACGTAGCCAACCGTGTTAATCGGAGTTGCTCTTTGCGTGTGTTCATGCTTACATCCACATGTTGTCCTGCAGACCAGCCGCTGGTGTGCCCGTACCGGCCAGCCGGCAGCTCGGAGCTTTTCTACATCCCGGCTGTTGTTGGCAACACTGGGAAGAGTTCACCATGCAGCTCGCACAGCACGGCAGAGAGCTCGCACCCCGGTAGGACTGTGAGCACCCACGGACCTCGCCTTCATCAACGGGGAACACTCGCAATCGAAACATTGTAATTTAAAATCCTGTTGGGAGGTAGACCAGACCAAGCTGATATTTACCACTGGGGCCAATACAATGAGTGCAACTTGTTGAGAAGTAGTAAGAGGGCGTTCTGTGGTTATACCATCTAAAATTTGTATTGCTGGCTCAGAGATTTGAGGCATTTCTCTGTGTTTGTGCATATGTTTTGGTATATCCGCGCTTGCTTGTGACTTGACTTGTCATTACAGGATCAAACAACGCGCTGCCGCCCATGTTTCCAGCGGGGGTGCTGGGCAGCCGGGACAGGCACATGGAGCTGAGGCAGGTTGCCGGAGTCCCGAGTTCCACCTCAGCCGGTCCTTCCCACGTTTCCTGGCAACCCCCACCCCAGGGAGGTTCTGTGAGCCAGACCACTGCACAGCACAATATCTGCTACCCGCCCGAGTTAAATGGTTGGACGTCCGTCGGCTCGGCTGAGCGTGGCCCGCCCATCGCCATACACCACCTTGAAGGGGCGCAGCGTGCGCGTAGCGCGTGGATGGACTCTGGCTTGACCCCTGATGCCGGGTCGGCGTGGAGTGGCAGGGAGAGATCTCGGTCCGCGGCACCCACCGTCAGTCCCGTCGCCTACGAGCGCACGGGACGGGCTGACCGGCGGGGCTGGCAGGAGAGCTCGGGCAAGGTCACAGAACCGCACACGCAGCGCCGTCAGCACCGGTCGACGGGCGTCGAATCCACCTCGCCCGGTGCAAGCGGAGGCACGAGAGGGACGACGGAGCCGAGCCTGGACGAGCTCTGGGGCAGGTTCACCATTCGGCAGGAACAGCTGCGCGCCCTCGACGGCGCCGACGAGGGAGCGCTGCTACGAAAACTTGAGGAACTGGCGCGTCATCTCCGGCGCTCGCAATCGGTTGGCGAAGGTTCCCGGTTGACGCCGACGGGGGGAATGTGGGCTGATATGGATACGGTCTCCTCCACTCAACGCTCGATCAGGTTGGACGAAACTGGTGACCGTCGCCAGAGGTCTTTAGATTTGGAAGACACTTGGAGCGGCGATAGCCGCGGTGGTGGCGGTCGGATGACGCCGCCGGCATCCTCGCTGGCCGCATCCTCCATCTCCACAGACCCGGACGGGCGCCACGACGATGCGAGCAGCGTGGCGGAGACCGCGTCAACCATTGACACGGCGCGGCTGGTGCGCGCGTTCGGGCCCGGGAGGGTGCGTCTGTCGTCGCCAGCACTGCGGTCCCTGCATGATGCCGTGCACCGGCAGAGAGAGGGACCAGGGACGGTCGTGGAGGTGGCGACGCGGGGTCGGCGGAGCGGCGCGGCCGAGCGTGGCTCAAGGGTAACTTGGAGCCTGTAGGCCGTGTTGGGGCCTCGTTCTTTAGCCTTCACTTGCAGTGTAGCAGCATCGGCATGTTTGTAGGGATCGATGCAATTGCTACCCGGGCGATTCTATTGTGTTCACTGTTCCATTCACGATTCCATTATTTATTTGTTTGTACAGTTTCATTGATATTGTCTCCATCAAATCTTCTGTTGTTCTTTCTCGTTCATTACCATGGCCTAAATATACATTAGCATATACCATGTATAAATTACAAATAATGATTTGTACGTTGCATGCTTTTATGCAAGGATTGGGAGAATTTTATTGTGTCTTGATGTTTATTAATGTATTACACGTTTTTAAATAGCTTGCTTTAATTAACCACTTCTCCCTATATTTAGATGTCAATATACAGCAGGTAAAATTGCTACCTTGCCCTGCAAGTTTAAATGTCCAACTTTGTTGCAACAGAAATATACACCGTCAAGGGGAGAGGTAGAGAAATCTGACTTGCATGCACCCCCGGTGGATGCAGCCACAGTTGCAGCTAAGACGTTCACCTGGTCAGCCAGCTGTGTAGGAAGGAAGCAAATTGCCCCTGCCAGAGGCTGCTAACAGGAGATTGAACAAGAAGTCGATGCGGTTCCATGAGGGGGTAGCTGTGCTGGCTCGGAGGCCTACTCGGCAGTGATTACTGTTTCACTGGGGAACTATTGCAGACATCTTGAGTGGACGGGTCGGCCTTCGGACAGACCTATGGACATCTGCGAAAAAAAGCTTCGTAGGTCGTCGGATTCCTCCTCCAGGATAAATACAGATTCTGAATCTGAATGTTGCACTTGGAGCGATGTTTGTAGCTGACAAGAGGCCTCCACCAATTCACTCCGGTGGAAACATTTATTCCACTGTTAATGATCAGTAAACGTGCCCTGTGGCAACCTAAGCCGAGGTTTTCAACGTAAATATGCAACCGAGACAAAATAATACAATTGAGACAATCGTTTTTTGGATTGAGTCACGACTCAAGAATCGTGACAAATCATCGGATGGCATGGGGGTAGAATGAATCATCATATGCTTCGTCCTATTGTGAAAATAAAAAATAGTTACTTTTAGCTATATTTTGACCAGGAATAGAGCCTATTTGAATTGTGTCAATTTTGCATATTTAAATCTTATAGAGCAATGGGTGACTCTCTTTATGTAACGCTGCTGGAGCCCTGATTCCCACTCTCCTGAAACGAAGCCCTCGAGCGTAACGGACCTTTTACATTTCGTCTTGCATGGTTACCTGCGTGTTTTGTGTTCAGGCGCACGCACTGTCATCATCCGGCGCTGCCACAGACAGCCCCTCGGAGAGCAGCCACGCTGCACCGCCACCTCCAGCCAAGAGCCGTGGCAGACAGCGCAGCAAGGGGGTACAGGCAGGTGTGTGTCCCGAAAGCAACACGTGGCCAAAGAAATAATAAATAATTCTGTTGATACGTACACATGGCGTGGGCTCTGGACTGTCCAACGTGAAGATAGAGCTTCATTCTGGAGAGAAAACAGACTTGGCTGTTATGGGCAAGTATACTGCCGCGGCACAGTCTAGTATGTCACTGCACTGACATATTAAAATATTTGGAAGTGACATCGCAGTGTCGTCAAAATAATGACGTAATGATGTGCTTGAATGTAACTTTAAAGTCTTCTTATCCACCAAATAAACCACAGTAAGTGCCAACAGATTTAACACATTGTATCATATTGAATACGGCACTTGTAGACATCAGTTAGCACGAGTCCTAATGTACGCTATCCAAATGCAATGCGTCTATGGTGTCCTAATTATGCTCGTGAAACAGATCAAAATGATGCTTGTAGTCATTTTTCTTTCATAATGGAAAGTTGTCCTAAAGAAGATCAGTATTACCTGCCTGTGACATGGATGAAAAACATTGACAAAGACTATGGTTTAAGAGGTGGAGAGTACACAAAAATGGAGAGATGCATGCTGGGAATGACTGAGAGACAGAAAGAGAAACACGTGGTTCAGAGAACAAACACAAATTATAGCCACTATATTGTCTGTTCAGAAAACTGGGAGAGGTGGCTCAGAGGACTGAGTGCTGAGCTGGCACCACTGAAAGCGTTCAATCGAATCCAGACCGCCACCTTAAATTAAACCTGGTTGTCAAGAAACAGTAACTCAACACATTCATCAATAACATGTCCTTAAAACAATGAACGCAGATGGACAAGACCAGTGATAGAATGACAGTCAAAGCAGGGAAATGGCCTGAGAGGACTACCAGCGTGGACACGGGGCGATGAGATCAGCTCGTGCACCAAAGAAACGAGATTAATTTGCTGCAATTTAGGGCTGCGAGAGGATGGCGACAACTTCAGGAGAGCTTCATCCAGCGGTGGATCTAAATTGCTGGCACTAATGATGCTGAGAAACAGAACTCATATGGTGCTGCCGTCTTTCTGCTGTCCCCTACACACACACTCGTGTGCAGGAGACTTGGAGCTGGTGCCAGGAGCGAAGGGGCGCACGCGGGACGTGGGCGTCACCTTCCCATCACCGGCTCTAGGTTGCCGCCGCGGCTACCCCGCCCCCCAGGGAGCCCACACGCGGTTCCCCCGTGCGAGCGAGCGACAAAGACGGCACTGCCACGGTGCCGGCGGCGCAGCAGAACCGGCACGACAAGCAGAGCCGCGCCCCCCGCAGACGCCAGCGCCCGATCCGCAGTGAGACACTCGCTCCTCTCCACCGTCTATTCCACACTCCATTTGTGTAATTGAGTGCTGGTTTATGGTGTCGTTGCCACATCGCTTCGTGAATTTCTCATCCTAGAGAAGTGGCCCAGTTGCCCAGAGGACTTGCTCTGTGTCAGACCACTGAACCGGCACTGTTGAGATCTGGGGTTTGAATCCAGGCAAACCCTGAGCTTCTCAAGTGTAGTGAATTGACAATTGACGGTGCAATTAAATATCAAATTTGTCTTTCACTTAATTCCGCATATAATCGGAGATGTGAGAAGGTATATTGCTTCTAGCATGGCTAAGAAGCAATTTTCTTGGAAGTAGATCTGTGATCTCACTTTTAAGAGACATATCTCAATACGCTGGGTGATGCACTCTTGGACATTTATTCTTCAGCATGGCATGGTGCCAATAAACCAAGTTATAATACACTTGGGGAAAATGCCAATACAATCTGTGTCTTTAAGTTTTAAGTCCTAGGTAGTACCAACCTGATCAAATCACATATTGTTCCCCAAATACAATAACAAGGCACCACTTGTTAGACATGGTGGAACACCAAGCACCACCACAATGGGCATTTAATAGAATCGTGTGTTGTGTTGCAGCAGCACTGCGCTTAGTGCTTTATAGACAATAGACAGACAGTGGTGTGAAGTTCTGTTATATCGCAGTAACATTGTGACAGATGCTTCACGGATACATAAAATGTTCTCGTGTCATGGTACTTCTCTACTAGGCATTGAAACATCCGGTTGCATTGTGTCAAAGCCACACTGCACTCGGAATTCGTCACATTGCATCACAAGAGCACTACACCGGTTGCTGTATAGGGGCCCGTTCCTCTGTTTTATGTCGCAGAGCCCGTGAGCTGGTTCGTGCCGCTGGACAGACGTGTGGACCAGGACTCGGATGTCTCTCGACAAGGGGCGAAGGAGAACGTGTCCGGGCACGCAGGGCGACCAATACGAGAGGAGCAGCGCATGGCATGGCCCTGGCTGGGACGGCCCAGAGCAGAGTGGCGGTGGCGCCGCCGTTGGTGTCGGCGGTGCGTTGAGGTCCCGGCCTCCACTCCGGGAGATGCAGCAGCACGACCTGGAGGAGGAGCTGGCAGGAGGGACGCTGCGTTCCCTTGAGCGCCTCACCCTGCAGGTGAACTCCCTTGGCTCCCATCGAGGTTGTGTTTTGAGATGTTACTCAAGACTCACAGCACCGGTAGACAACAATTCACCATCTGAGCGAATTATTACCAGTGTTGATGAATGTCTTGTGTGTGGCCACCCACAGGAGGCCCTCCACATGAACCGGCCGGCGTTTGTGTACCGCTCTCGCGAGCGCATCAAGCGACTGCAGTTCATGGCGGAGGAGCGTCGCGTGCAGGGCGTGTGGCAGGAGGAGAGGGAGCGCCTGTTCGGCTGGGGGACGCGGGGACGTCGGCGACGGCACGGCCAGGGGCAGTCGAGCTCTGCCCGAACCCACCCCATCTTCGGTACCGTGCGCTGCTGCACCCACCCTCACTGCTGCCTGCTGCCTCTCTGACAGCTTCATCGTTGCCAGGGATGAGAGGCCTTGCCTTTGCCAAGTGCAGTAAGTACAGTGTTAGTGGCACATTCTGAGCTAACTGAACTCCTGCAGTCAGTAGAGAGACGCAGCAGCATCACACCATGTGTCAGGGAATGACTCTCGAAGGTGATACCGTGGAACAGCTCCTGGGATTGCTTGGATAGACCTCTGCTGTTCAGCCCTCGAATGCTGCTCCGTTGTCTGTAGAGCGAAGCTGGGTTTCATGAAAAAAATACTTGACATCATTATTTATAGGCAATAAGTTGTTACCAGGCTGAGACCATCATCACGCACTAATTGAACCTGGCTTATGTTTCTGGTTTGAACATTGTAAGCAACTTGGCCACTGGTATTTTGGACTTTTTTTCCCAGTGAATCTACAGCTGACATATATCAGTCATTGCAACGTGTTTACTCTAACCGAACGGTTGCCGCGGAACACTAATGTACATTAGCTGGCACGATGGAACTGCGTGCATTATATTACAGATTTTGAAGGTGGGTTTTTCTTTTTGTAATTGGCATTTGTCATTGTGTGTGAACCTATGGGCATGTTCATCCCTGCAGATAATCTCTTTTTGGCAAGGAAGAGAGTGGTTCCCAAGAAGGAGGCATTTGTGCGTTCAAAATCGTAAGTGCCAAGCCATGGCGTCTCTTTGCTGGCAGGTCTTTATTTTATATCTAAAAGTGCATCTTGTGTATATGTGTGTGTGTGTTTAGTTTGGATAATGGTAACAGTGTTCACTGCATTACACTGGGATGCTGATGTTGGAGATTCCATTACTGGTCATTGTGGCAACATGGGTCCTGTGAGATTTTCAGTTCACCAGGATTGTTTCAAGCAAGCCTGACTGCTGATGAGGCACTTGAGTGTCAAAACCAGTTTGCTTGTTTTGAATCAACATCAACCATGATGATTATATACGGTGTAATGTTTTTAGTATGTCACCATTATCGGCCACGATCTGTCAAATGCTTAATGAAGGTGCCCCCAAGCTGCACCACCGTCTCCCATGATCCTGCAATGTACTGACCACACCACCCCCTTGTGGCAGCTTTAAAACACGTGACTCATAGCACTGGCCCTATGTCGACAATGCTAAGTGGTGGATGAGTGTGCGTACGGACGTGTGAGTGATGTGTGTATGTTATACGTGGGATCTTGTTTGTGTGCACATATGTAAGCAAGCCTGATTGTCAGATTGTGTGCATATGTAATTGTTTACACGTATGGGGAGCGGTAGTGCAGCATTTAGCTCACTGCACTACGAACCTGGCGACCCGAGTTCAATTCCCGCTCACGGCCAACACCAGTGACATTTATCTGAACCGGTCGTGGGCCTCCCCTAGGTCGACTCAGCCTAATATGAGTACCTCATGCAATGTGTAAACATCATCGCTCGGGAGACGAAGGCGACAGGCCGGGTGTGGTGTTCGCCACCCAACCCCTCACGTGCTGTGCCGGCCTTCAGAGGTGCTCTCTAACAGCACTTACATGTATATACGTTTAACTTCTTACGCACCGTACGTAGCCAACCGTGCTAATCGGAGGTGCGGGAAACACCCGCCCGAATAGTCTGTTAAGCCCGTACAGGGGATCTTTGTCTTTGCATTTACACATGTGCATGTACGTGTGTGTGCATACGCATGCGTACGCGCACACAGGCTGTACGAGAAACTACCCGAGATCAGGAGGCGACGAGAGGTGGAGAAGAAGCTTGCCGAGTACCAGTCGAACCGCCTCAAGGCCGACAACTTCCAAAGGGTGAGACGCTTCCCAACCAACCCCCTCTGCACATGGGGGGGCATCTTTGCATTCAAGGGATCAGAGTGCATATACAGTGTGTACGGACACACTCCATGTGAGTGTTTTGATTTGTATTCAATGATACGCAACTGTGAGGTCTGTGCCCCCACACTCGCACAAGCGTTTTGCATTGTTCATCGCCATTGGGGGTTCTGTGCCAGTGGTGGAGGTTCCACATTCCTGTGGCGAGGACCAGGAATATTCCCGAGATAACCACTTTTGACTTCCCACTAAGGGGGGGTACTCGTTGCATCTCTCCTCGATGGATGATGGACCGAGCCGACTGCACAACCGACTTGTGAACATGCGACCCGATCGCAAATTGAGGTCCCCAACCTCAGCACCATCTGGCCCGGTAGTGTTTGTCCCAGGGAGAGACATGCCCCTGTCACGGGAATGTAGAATTTATAGTACTGGCCAAAGGGGTAGGTATCAACAGAGATGAGCTCTACCCAAAATTCTTGTTTGAATAGGGAGACAGTCTTTTTGCAGTCGAAGATTTAATTTTGCTTTACATTCTAATCAAAGCTTAATCCTGCAGTAGAATGCCAAACTTGTTTTTTCTTACCATGTCTGCAAGATCTTATTCCCTGGCTGGCTGTTCCACCCCTATCCATCCCTTTCATTCCACCTCCATGAACGTGCACTTGACATGTGCCAGCAGCGCTTTTGAGAGCTCGTGTCCCTGCGTTTGTGTGTTGCAGAGAGTAACCAACAAATTGCTGGGTCGAAGCACAGCGTGGGAGTGACTCCAGCACCCGTGGAGGAGCACGGTTCAAGGCAAACAACGTATGGGGGCTTGCAAGCTTTGGGGGAGATTGGGGAAGCTCTAAAAGCAAAGCCGTAATCTAAAAGGAAGACACTGCATTTCACTTCTGACAGCAGTTGCATAGCCATGTCGAAATTAAAAGTGCCTGACTGTACCGGACGATTGTGGACGCCACTCATCCACATTGATGATGCCGAGTCAGCGGTGGAAATTCTACATTCCTATGGCCGAAGCCTGTCTCTTCACATCTCAACTACTATTGCCTTCAAATAAAGTCATACTCATTTCACCAACCATGAAGCCATGGCTGTCTTGAGTCAAGGAGGTTACAATATACATACGCACTGCAATTTCACAGTTCCTGAGACCTGCGAATGGCATGCTACTTGTTTTGTAAAATTATCAATAAGACCAAAAGACCTGCCATTGCTATAATAATATGATAAATGATATGCCTAACAACATACACCTATGCTTCTCATGAGGGCAGTTGTTGACATATTGTAGGTCGTGTTTGTTTTCATTTCTATAGGACTGAGACTATCAACATTTTTTTACACTTTTTACTCTGCTGTGTCCTTACATATTGTGGTGTGTAGCTGTGTGCAGTGCAAGAATACAATTCTAAATGTAACCACAATTAAACATAGTAATGAGATCATTTTTATAAACTCAAACCTGATGATTGTGATAGTAACATACAAATTGAGCAGACCATGGAATTGCAGTAATCGAAGTCTCTCTTCACACAATATAATGGCTCTCAAAGTTGAATGCTTAAAACATTTCCAAATCTTTATGCAACAAATTATGCACTTTTACTCGGCTAAAGGAAATATTATTTAAACCACAAACATGGTTGCCTCTTGTGCACATGATTTCGATGGTGTTTTTGTTATTTTAATTTCAAGTTAAATCAATTGTCTCCATGCTCAGACAAGCATGGGGGGCAGTAGTCCTCTCCATGTTCATCTTTGAACCCATGGTGATATTCCACATTCTTACATCAGCCTCCCCACAGCCCATCATCTACAGAGGAATAATGGATTGTGTTAAAACGCAAGCGCGTGATCATTACTGCAGATGGAATAAAAGGATGCAATGACCGTGAACTCGACTGGAGCGGTCGGTAAACAGTTTAAGCACTCCTTGCCAACGTGCATCGCCTGCAGTCCACATCCATCAACTTTAAACACTTTTGAGCCAGACCCTAATGTGAGGAGTGGCTGCTGATGACCACCGTTATTCTTAGTCCGTGTCTGTTGAGATGCCTATCGTGTGGTACGCGTTCTATTAACCATGTAGGGATGATAAGCCAAACTTGACTCCTGGTCTGGATTTGAACTTGCAACCTTTCGACTGTGAATCGCTCACCATAATCACAGCACCACAGCATCAATGTTAACATGTTTGCTTAAGGTAAACAAGCTGTTTTATCACGGGCTCATGTTGGTCTCCTCGGTCCTCCAAGTCTCTTGGGCTTAGGCTTACGGTATGCCCATCCGTGCTCTATTTAAATAAATAATATTGTTGTACCCTAACTTATATCAAAGTTGAATCCGCAATACAAATTAAACCGTGGTCACTCACTGCTCATGTAACCTAAGCACAATTACCTCGTGTAAAAGTGGGTGTTGTTCACCATTGGTAGACCTGTCTTTTATCACAAAATCTGCATTGTCTTAATTCTACAATGTTTATGTGTGTCGTGGCAGCCAATCTCTTTGTGTCAAATTTATATACGTGTATTTTTTTACAACTAAGTTTATGATGTGGCCAATGTGTTGTTAATAAATGTGTTTCGTGTACATTTCATATGGTTGCTCTTTTATATCACCAGCATCACCCCACGTGCACAATTGCATTCGAGCAACATGGCAAATGAGTTCACTCTGGAACACAGAGAATGGTGACATTTATAAAACACGATACTTTTGTATTCTCAATGGATCTCTATTACCCGGATCCCAAGCGAACAACTCCGCGTTATTGCCGTTTAGGAAGCTGGGCTGAATTGAAAACTAAAATGTACATGTGCAATTATCAGCAACCAGGCTGTGACCATCAACTCTCCACTTCATATCCCGTGATTTGGATTCAGGATTTCAGCAGCGCGGGGCCAAGTGCTTTGGTACAGGCGTTAGCACCCGAACCCATCTGGTTACCAACTGTGACAGGTTTGATGTACATAGCCGTACATGGTTTTGTGCTGTAGGCAAATTTGAGGTCAAGTGTTGTCAATCCATGCACCTTTCATGGTGCAGTTGAGGCATTAGATGCCTTTAAAGCCCTTTTAAGTGGGAGGCACTACAGTAATTTGTAAACCGTTAAAAGCAGTTTCAACTACATGCTCATATGTGTGGCTTTTTTCAGGAATAATTTTCACAAGTTTCCACAGCAAGATTCACTTCAATCAACAAACTACTGAATGTTGTACAAATCAGGTGTATATGACCGCAGAACAAGAAATTATTTCAACATTCACACACGGCGACATTTCGCACCGCAATCGCCTGTTCAGTCGCCAACAATCGTCGGAGAATTTAACGGGCGGATCTAACCGCCGTGTACGTGCGCATGCCGAAACTTCTTTGGCGCCGTACGTAGCCAACCGTGCTAATCAGAGCTTGCGCGCGGGGCGGTGGTGCACGCGGTGGTGCGAACGTCGACGTCGCGCTTAGGGGGCGTGCGACGCGCGCCGGCGCGAGATGCGTGTCACTGCGTCGCGGAGCAGCGCGTCCCAGTCGTCGCCGCGGCGCATGGGGACGCTGCGCTGGGGCAGGTCGCGCAGCGCTGCGACCTCGGGGTGCTCCGGCTGGCGAAGGCCGACGTGCTCAACCACCTCCTGGAACTTGGCGGGCGAGGCTGTCGCAAGGCAGACCCTGTGCACGCTGCGGCCCACGTACACAGACAAATATTTCCCCCGTCCATAATTAAGGGGGCTTTTTTTTGGGTTCGATCGCGTAAATATAAATGGTGTGTCGTTAAACCCGCCACCACCTGACATGGCCAATTAGTAAGGGTTGTCATGTACACAATACGTGGCCAATTCGTTACCAGTACAGCACACCGGTGTGTTGGAGAGCAAATCGACAACAATATACAATCTGAGTCCGACGTTTCGCCAGTAATTACAACTAGCTTACTCAGGCGGCAGCCAGATCTGTGGAGAAATCTTCCTGTTTCGTTCCTTAAATAGAGGGCTAGGTGTGATGACGTCACTTGTGAGCCCTTCACGTGCGAATTTAGAGGAGATTCACCTCGGGGAGGCGTAGAACCGGTTCAGATATTCCGTCAGCGATGTGGGTCATAAGCAGAATAATCTTGGGTCGTCAGGTTCGTAGCAACCGCCACACTAATGTGTGTGTACACTAATGTGTGTGTGTGTACACACAAACACACTAATGTGTGCTAATTGGCCCGTTTTTAATCTCACATCATTACCATTATCATGAACCATTAGGTTAGATTCTGTGTCTCAAATGTGGATCGGCTCAGCCCATCATTACTCTTGAGGTCGATAAACTCGATAACACTTAGTGATATGTCAGAAGTTGTTGGTCTTTAGGACAGACTGGCTCTTGCCATGGGCATGTGGCATTGCCACCAGTGGCTGAGGTTCACCAATGGACTCAGACAGAGATACTGACTTATGATCACCACTATCATAATGCCATTACACAATCTAAATAACACGTTACGCTCGACTGCGGTGGATTGTGCCAAATAGCGAACCAAAATAATAAAATATAGCTTCGGTCTATCGGTACATAGGTCTTGGAGGTTTCCACGTGTTAGAATCACAGTGGGTGGTGGTGGTGGCTCAACGACAGTGTGGCTCTAATACGAGCACAGTGCGATTCTCACGACTCGAATCATTCCCATGCGATTCTAATCCCGCACCTCCTCCGACTGGCGCGGTTGCCTACGTACGGTGCGAGAGAAGTTCAAACCTGCACACACAACAGGACGGCATCCAGAGCGCTGCCAAAAATGTCACGCAACAAAAAAACGTGAAGCGCAAATACGAAGTCGACTAGTTTTTGAGAAAGAGCCGTTCGCATTGGAAAGGGCCCCCGGGTGGGGGGGGGGGGGGACGACGATGACGCTCGCTCTCACCCGGGGGGCGTCGGCCAGCTGTAGTGGAAGGCGACCGCCACGGCGGAATGGGGGCACAGCAGGTAGGCGTTCTCCTGCCAGCACCGCCGCATGGCGCCCGAGATGTCGGCGTCGCTCAAGGCACTCGAAGAGAGCGCCTCCCGCATCTGCGCGTGGGCCACGCGCACGGGGAGGGCCGTGTTAGCCAAGACAAGTCGGATCGGAGGTGGAGGGTAGGGTCAGGGCTTGGGTTCGTCAGTCAGTTGTCGTGATCATATGTTATTCATGGCAAAGGGTTAGATCGCGTTAATAGAAATGTGTCGTGAACCCACCACCACCCGACACAGCCAATTAGGAAGGGTTGTCACAAACGTGCCATTTAGTTACTAGTTCAGCACATCGGTGTGTTGGAGAGTAAACCCACAACATTTACAATTTGAGAAGGACGTTTCGATTACAACAACGAGCTTCATAGGGCAATTTGCCAGAATGAGCGTCTGTCGGATTAGTGGTAGGTGTTGGATTAGTGGCAGGTGTTGGATTAGTGGCAGGTGTTGGATTAGTGGCAGGTGTTGGATTAGTGGCAGGTGTTGGATTAGTGGCAGGTGTTGGATTAGTGGCAGGTGTTGGATTAGTGGCAGTTGTTGGATTCGTGGTAGATATTGGTTAGTGCTCGGTGTTAGATTAGTGGTAGATGTTGGATTAGTGCTCGGTGTTGGTTGGCTCGTTTGGTTTAGGTCAGGGTTAGGAAGAGGTTTTGAATTGTCGTGCAGCTGAGGCGTGTGTGTGTACACCTTGCTCTGTAGAGGCGTGTGTGTGTGTACACCTTGCTCTGTAGAGGCGTGTGTGTGTGCACACCTTACTCTGTAGAGGTGTGTGTGTACACCTTGCTCTGTAGAGGTGTGTGTGTGTACACCTTGATCTGTAGAGGTGTGTGTGTGTACACCTTGCTCTGTAGAGGCGTGTGTGTGTACACCTTGCTCTGTAGAGGTGTGTGTGTGGACCTTGCTCTGTAGAGGTGTGTGTGTGTGCACACCTTGCTCTGTAGAGGCGTGTGTGTGCACCTTGCTCTGTAGAGACGTGTGTGTGTGCACCTTGATCTGTAGAGGCGTGTGTGTGTACACCTTGATCTGTAGAGGCGTGTGTGTGTACACCTTGCTCTGTAGAGGTGTGTGTACACCTTGCTCTGTAGAGGTGTGTGTACACCTTGCTCTGTAGAGGCGTGTGTGTGTACACCTTGCTCTGTAGAGGCGTGTGTGTGCACCTTGCTCTGTAGAGGCGTGTGTGTGTGCACCTTGATCTGTAGAGGCGTGTGTGTGTACACCTTGCTCTGTAGAGGTGTGTGTGTGCACCTTGCTCTGTAGAGGCGTGTGTGTGTGCACCTTGCTCTGTAGAGGCGTGTGTGTGTGCACCTTGATCTGTAGAGGCGTGTGTGTGCACACCTTGCTCTGTAGAGGTGTGTGTGTGCACCTTGCTCTGTAGAGGTGTGTGTGTGTGTGTGCACCTTGCTCTGTAGAGGTGTGTGTGTGTGCACCTTGCTCTGTAGAGGTGTGTGTGTGTGCACCTTGCTCTGTAGAGGTGTGTGTGTGTGCACCTTGCTCTGTAGAGGTGTGTGTGTGTACACACCTTGCTCTGCAGGGTCGCGGGGAGGCTCGCTCGGCCAGATTCATAGAAGCGGCTCATGACGTCTCGGACCAGGGCCGTGTCGGCGTCAGAGCACAGGTGGAACATGCGCTCCGTGTTGTAGGGCACCTGCAGTGTGCACGTGGGTCACACACACACACACACGGTGATGGCACCTCCTTTGCGAGGACCAAAATATCAGAATAGGTTTTCCCCTTTTATCTGGCAGCAGAACAGGTGTTAAGATGTTAAAACACCGAACTGAAACCTTTTACAAGGAATCATGTCTGCAATAACCACAATACTTGTGGTCAGAATGCAAACAAAAAACACACTGATAATATTTGCATTGTCTTTGAAACTGATTAGTCCACACCAGAGACAGCTTTATTTCGAGCCTAGTCTCAAACGATGTTAGACCAGAGGACGCCAAAAGGTGTTAGACAAGAGGACGTTTGTGCTCCCAGGGTGTATGCTGCCCACCTTCACCAACCTGCATCGATCAGCGTGAAGTCAAATAATTCTCCCCGAACCACAGGGCGTGGGGAGGCCCTCATTCGGCAGCGGTTCGACAAGAGGGTTTGTGTTTGTGCACAAACAACTATGCCGTGACTAGCTGGGTGTGGTTGTGCACGGTGGCTAGGAGATGTTAACTACCTCGCCTGGTATACAGGATGGACGTGGGTTCGATCCCGACCCTGATGCCTGCTGCTGTATATTTGGAGTTTGCGTGTCTCTCTCCCCGTGGTCGCGTGGATTTTTCTCCGGGTCCTCCCGATTTTACCCCCCACATTCAGAATCAACATCCGTTTAGAGTGTTTCGCTGCTATAAATTTCCACGCGATAAGCCACTTCGTCGAGCTACCATTTGTGATGGCCAGGCCGCTTCTGAAAAAGAGCCACATAGCTCAGTGGGCCTTACCTGGTAAAAAAACCAAAAATAGTTGTTTAGTTTAGTTTCAGTTGAAGCTACGCTGCCCCTAGCCGGCTGTGGTTTGTGCACAGACAGGCGACGGCACGCGAGAGACGCGACCTGGATGTCGATGGCGGAGGCCAGCGAGGGCTTCACGGCGCCGTCCACGCTGAAGTCCCCGCTCTGCAGGGCGCGGTGGACGACGTCGTTCTGGTTGACGGCGCACAGCAGCCGGATCGGCAGCCCCATCCGCCTGGCGACGCATCCGGCTGTGACGCCGGGCGGCAGGATTCTGCTGGAGTCTCAGCCCAATGCTCCGCCACTTTTTTGCGCAAATCCCGCAGCCCTCCATCCGTGCCCTTGTTCACGAGCGACTAGCGACACGGCTCGTTGCCAGGACAGGAAATGTTGTGCCAAACAGCAATGCTCTCGTGGAAAATCAATCGTTAATTAATTAGCAGTGGTGGAAGGTGGTCGCCGCGGCCGTTATTGCGCTGCGGTGTGAACTCGGCGACCCGAGTTCGATTTCCTGGCCACGGCTCTGACATTCGTGGCGAGTGATATCAGAGCCAGCCCTTGCCCTCCCACCGCTTCAGCACCCGGCACGAAGAGTGCTCACGAACCCCCCATAACCAACCGGCATGGCATGGAGAGGCATTCACCCTATTGTTTGGCCAGAATTTATTTACTTTGTTAAAACAGTTGGATGGTTAGCGATGGTGCATGCGGTGCCACCTACACCCACCCACCCATCCTCTTTGTGTTCGTACTGTTTGTTGTTGTAACGTTCTTACCCGCCCCGACTGGACATCCGTGAAAAAGAGCTTCATAGCTCATCGGATTCCTCCAGCGTAAATAAATATTCTGATTCTTCCCCCGCGTGCCCCCCTCGACTCACCAGCGGCGTTGCCCGCCGCCCCCGTGGGCACCACGACCTCCACGGTGGGCATCTCCTCCTCGGCGCCGCTGCCGCCGCCGTCCGTGCAGCGGAGGTACGCGTAGAAGTGGTGAGCGACCTGCACCAGCACGCGGCCCCAGTTGATGGAGTTGATGCTGATGACGCCGTGGCGCGACGAGAACTCGGTGTCGGCGAACAGCCTGCGGATGGGTTCGTCCAGATCGTCCGACGAGCCTTCCACTGGGGGGAGGGGGAAGAGTGGGGGGGGGGGGACACACGTGGGTGGTCATCACGGTGGTCACAACGACGGCAACCGTGGCCGTGGGTCGCTTGCATTCGTTATTTCCGCGATTCAAGTTCAGCTTCTTTGTTCGATTAAAATGTTCTGCTTCTGGGCAATCCTTCCGCAACGTCTTGCTCGCATCACTGCTGCCGACGGAAGGGTCCCCGCGAGAGGGAGGCTCCAGGGAGCCCCGCGAGAGGCGAATGACGCTCAAGATCGGTTTTCCGACTTACACGGACGGCCTCGTACGGTCGGGCACGGGGATGCCGGGAAGAGCTCCGTCACTGGCCCCTTCGCTCACTCAGCAGAGGGGTCGCGACGGGTCCCCTAGGGTCTGCTTGAAGACCTCGGGCGCTCGAGTTTTTGTGTTTGTGGCTCCTGCCCCGCGTGTCTATCTACCCCATCAGATAAGAGAGAGAAAGAGAGGACTTCACACATCCTTTAGATTTTGTCAAAGGAATGCATTTAGCGTACGATGAATACGAAATAAAGTCGAAAGAAGGTATAAGTGATGAGTTCCACTCAACGACAGGCAGATCTAATCGGGAAAATAGCGTGGAAAACAAAACGTTGGTGGTAGTGGTGGTGCGGACGGGGTGGGGATGGCTGAGTTGTGTTTGTATATGTTTGGGTGATGTTTACCTTTTTTGTACTAGTATCATGTTTTTTTATATTGTTTGTAGTTTTTTCGTTCTTACCCGCCCCTACTGGACATCTGTGAAGAAGAGCTTTAAAGATCATCGGATTCCTTCTCCAGTCCAAATAATTATTCCGATTCTGATGACGCTCCTCGTGGTTGCTATCGTCGACATTGGCGGTCTTCGTACGTTCACCGCGGACGCGTGTTTCGCGTCGCCGGGGAACGTCGGGGGGACGTCGGCGACGGGGGGGGGGTCTCACCTGTGAACACGTGCACGTTCTCCTCCATAGCCGTGGTCATGTGCAGCTCCTGCAAGCGGCTGCAGCGTCCGCCGGGCAGTAGCACCACCACGTCGGCGCGCTCCGCCCCTCGCAAGCTCGCAATCGCCGAGCCGCCCGTGTCTCCCGACGTCCCTGCGTGAGCCGGGGGAAGTGCGCGCACCCACACACCGGTGACGGATTATCGTATTAGCAAAGTTGCTACACATGTAGTATCTACATATGTAGTAGCTACTACATATGTAGTAGCTACTACATATGTAGTAGCTACGGGCCCTGCACTTTCAAGGGCCCCGCGCTAAATGCTTTCAAGCTATCAATTCCGGTTCAGTGATTCTGCACTTGCTCTATTACTATAGTACTATACTGCCTTCAACTTTTATGAACGAATGGGTGTTTAATGTTAGCGATTTATATTATCTGGCCGTATAGCAATTGAAAACATACAATTACTTTACTTTAAAAGTAAAAAAATTGTGTTTTAATATTTATGTTTTTTTTTATTTAGCGCCGCTTTATAACATCATGCTACATTCCCCGCATTAGCTTAATCCGGCATTGCAACACCCCGGTGACCTCCACCGTCACGAGTCGCGGCGGCTCTTGTTACCACCAGCTTTTTACTGCTGACTTTTAGATACCGATCATCGGAATAGGTTTTTCGACTGCCACTCGGTGAGCGCTCACTCTCGTAGAGAGAGAGCGAGCGACTCACAGCGTGGTGAGGAACCACGCACGCAGGAGGGAAGGCATCAAGCCGGGCAGTGAACCGATGCCAACATTTGCCGAAGCTCTGCGATCCTGTGCATGTTAAGGTGTTATCGGCCAATAATTGAGTTGTTGACACGTTGGAGGAAACCTGAGCATGTGGAGAAACCCCACGCATGCAAGGGGGAATCACTCTATTGTATCCATAAGAGGTTTTTTGGGTTAGATCGCGTAAATATATAAATGTGTCGTTAAACCCGCCTACGTGTTAATAGGAAGAGTCCGCATTTGTGATGTATCGCCTTCTCCTGGCGAGCCAGGGTGTGACACCTCGACGCAAACGCGAAGGGAGTTTATTTTTTTGTACGATCCACCAAACCCTCGCCGACACAGTGTGCTGGATTACTGGCGTACATGGCCCTCTCGACACTTTAGATATTTGAATATAATTATCGTTAGATTAAAGCACAAGGTACAGAGGCATTTCTGACCAACACACTTTGATGCTGAATCGTTAAATTAAAACAAACACACAAAAGTTAAAATCAACGCAGCATCTTGTAGTGACCCGACTGAACACACGGGTACTCACCCACTACGATGGTGACATGCTTGTCCTCCTTCTGCAGGAAGTAGAGAATGAACTGTGCCAGGCAGCACATGGCCAGGTCCTTGAAGGTCATGGTGGGGCCGTGGAAGAGCTCGAGGACGTTGAGGCCATCCCTGAGCCTCTTGAAGGTCACCACCTCACTGTGGGCAAACCGGCTGAGGGCCCGGTCGACCAGAGCTGCGTGGCGCCACAGGAGAAGCGACGGCGGCAGTGCGGTGACTCCGGTGTCGCGTCCATTGCGAAGCCACGATGTTACCCGTAATAAAGGGTTTTTTTGTGGGTTAGATCGCGTGAGTATAAATGTTGTGTCGTTAAACCCGCCACCACCCGACACAGCCAACCGGTAAGGTTTGTCACGTAAACAAAACTATTTGAGCACTGACATTGTAAATGTTGTGGATTTACTGTCCAACACACCGGTGGGCTGCAGTAGTAACTAATTGGCACGCTTTATTGACGTGACTAACCTTACTAATTGGCTGTGACGGGTTAACGACACATTTATACTTTTATTATGAATATTGGTCGCGAAAGCCTACGTGTTAATGACGTTGTCATTCTGCCTTCGTAAAAAATCGCTTATGGCCCCATGGTAGTTGCAAGTGCGTCTTGCCTATCACGTCGAACAACTCTTTAGCATTTGTTTAACAGGCCGCACTCTTGCTGATAAGATTCAGAAAAATCGAAACCTGTCTGGCGTTTTACTTGCTTTAACAAATGCTGCAGGAAAAACATCGATCAGAGAGGCCCATTTGTCTAACTTAATACATTTAATTTTAGGAACCGTGCAGATGCTTTCCTTACATATAAAAAGTAGTCATGTTTTATGTGGCTGGGTAGCATTGTGGTGAGGGTACTAATAATTGGATGGTCGTGAGTTAAATTCCCGATGGGGTGGTAGAATCATTCTACCATCCCTTTTGAGTTAATGAAATTCGTATCAATTTGTGGGAAGTCAGCAGAGGTTGTCACATGGAGAGAGACTAGCCCCGGTCATAGGAATATGGAATGTCCAGCTATGGCTCAATGCTGCCAACAGAAACGAATCGTGACAATTCAACAAAAAGTGGAATGGGCTGAATTGTTCCATCCCATGTGCTGAACGCCCCTTAGAGAAGATACAAAGCAGAGTGTGGGGGGGAAGAGGGTGGAGGTGAGTGGGTACCTCCCAGCTCCTGCACAGGGATCTCGTCTGGGGAGATGTAGAGGGAGCAGATGTTCTGCACGAGCTGCGGGTAGGAGAGGGCCCGCCACTGCCGCAGCGTGTCGGCAGACACCCGCGGGATCTCCTCCGGCACGAAGAGGCCCCCGTCCACCGCGTAGCCCGAGAACAGCGCCTCTTGGAACGAGCTCCCAGCTGCCGCCCCCCGCGTGCTCACGTACTTCATCTGTCACAGTCGTTCGTGCGTCCATCCGTTCACTCGCTCACGGCTTCATTCGCTCATTCGCTGGTCGCAAGTGCCACCGCGCACGTCGAGACGCGTTCGCGTGCCGGTGGTGGTTTTCAGTGACACGGGGCAGTCACTCTGACTGGCCATCAGGTGGTGATCAATTTACTCACAATGTTGGGGATAAGCCACGGCAGGGCCCTCTGTCTAGCTGAATATTTGAATATGGTGCGACCAGCAGCCATAGACATGTGAGGAAGTATACTGGATGTGGTGTGCTGGATGTGGTGTGTTGGATTGGGGAAATATTTTCTGTGTCGCTGACCTGGACAGACCCCAGCCGAAATTAATCCGCGGATAGGCATGTGACCAAATCACACAAAATGCATTTGATCTCATCAGATCTCAGAAGCTAAGCTTCTGAAGCTAAGCTTCTGAAGCTAAGCTTCTGAGCCTGGACAGTTCCTGGATGTGAGATCACCGTGCATCGAGACAAGTGTTGCTGTAGGCTGCTGCGGGGCTGTGTGGTAGACAGCAGAGGGCGGTGCAGCAAAATCCGACGTTGCATCGCACTACGCTCCCTGCTTTCACCAGCCCGCAGTGACCGGCTGAAGTTTGGTGAAACAACTCCCACGACCCAACACGACTTGGGAAGATCCTCATCCAGCAGCGGATGGACAGGGCACGTGCGTGTTGGGAGAGAGCTGTAACCCTGATCTGGATGTTAACTCACGAATTGAGATCACGGGCCCAATGCTTTGCCTGCTGAGCTACAGTATCTCACGATTCCATAATTTTAAACACGTGTCTCGCTGTCTTGTGTTCAAATACATATTGGACCAGTGATAGCTCCTCATTTCCAATGTGGGGACAGTCCCTCCAGAGAGGAGAAATTGTTGATATCCTACAAATTGGTACTTTATCAACGTTTGAGAGATGATTGACGGTGTTGAACCCTAACCGAGGTTGAGCTAGCAGGCCTTTCAGACTGTGGCGCGAGTGAAATGTTAAACGTTACAACTCAATTATTTACAGGTTTTCTTGAAATGCGCAGGACAGTAAAATGTTCCGTGTTGGTATGAACTTGTAGAGGCCCTAGAGTTTGTATCGGTCTTCTCACTCTTATAATGCTTGTCAGTTAGAAGCTGGGTATGGCATGCTGATGAGTCTAAATGAAGGCGAAATGCCTCTGTGCCTCCTATGCTGCAGAATGCCTCGGCGCATGTATGGAAAGCGATGTTGGACAAAAGTCCGAGAAAGTAGGAGTCAGCAAATATGAATAATCACACCAATAAATTATGATACATTTGTTAGCTCAGTGCAAGCGAATTTCAGTGAGACGCTTACTGTTCAAGTGGGAATTATTACGAATTTCTGCTGAAAATAAGAGTTGCACGTACGCCATTATTAAATCCAACTGTGTGCTGGGTCCATAAAACGTTGCAATAAACTGTGTCGAAGCAGCAAAGAAAGGGTTTGGTGCTTGGTCCAGACTGCCTCGCTTGCCTTAGACCCCGCATATAATAAGAGTCATGACACGCATGACTTACAAACATTGTCCTTAAACCATGCCTTTCACTCTCCGAATGAATGGAACGTGGTTACTTGGCATACCCACCCTGCGACCTCCCGGCCTCTGGGCAGTGACAGCTCTTAAGATGTGTGGGCCACGTGGTTAGGCGGGAGAGAAGTGCCGAACGGGGGTGGCGCATTGTATACGATGGTGCGTGACGGCAAGTGGTAGTCCTGGCGGTCTCCCTGCCCACGCGAGCACAGGGCAGTGTTTGTCTGTGTTCACGGCCCTGGCCCAGCAGTCGAGTTAAAAAATAAAATCCAGGACGACTTCTTCACAATTCTGGATAATCGCCGGATGACGCTGGTTGTAATCACCAGCGAAACGTCAGCGGGTCACGGGGTCAATAGGTGTGGCGGCTCACCAGTCAGCTGGCCACTCGGCCGGCCGTATGGTCGGTGAAGTCGGCACTGTCAATGCTGCTTTATGGGTCCTTAAGCCAGCTGGTAGGTCAGCGGGTCACTGCCTATGGTCACTAGGTTAAGCTGGTAGGTTAGCAGGTCACTGGATAGGTGAAAGTCGTATTCCCTTGCCAGGTTTATATGTGACTCTGAGGTACAACTCGTTTGTGTGGATCGTTTGTTTAAGTTCAAAGGTGGCTGCCTGAACAAACAGTCATGGGGGGATGTCCTACCTTACAGGCCCTGTCAGAGACGTTCAAGGCATTTGAATAAAATAACACATTTGAATTATCAGAGCTGAAATAAGCCTTGTTAGTAAAAATTAAATGTTTTTTTTTGTGTGCATTCATTGGCGACTGTGCTGGGACCATCAACGCAATTGCACTCGACTCAAATATTTTGTCTGTTTACAGGTTTGTATGATTATTAATCACTGTATACCTACTATAATCACCCAGGAATGTCTGTCCTTGACGCTCGTGACGTCACTCCACGTCGACCAGCAACCCTCATTAATATTCATGAGCAGGTAACGTCCTCCAACTGGACCCCCCCCCCCACCCCTCCTCAATAATATTCATGAGCGGGTGACGTCCTCCAAATGGACACCCCCTCATTCATAATAATTAGCGGGTGACGTCATTCCACATGGGGGCCGAGGCGCCTCCTCCCCCCTCCTCAGCGTCAACTGACAACCCTCACTACAAAAGCAGAACCCTCACATCACGCGATCTCCGTAACGCTGTTGAGACATAGAAGTAAAAAGGACGTCATGATGAACAAGGGATTATAACCTTTAAATGAAATAGGTCTGTGTCACCGTGGCATTACAAATTGCACATGAATGCAATGCATATCACGTCGCGGTCTGCTTTTCGCTTGTAAATTTCAGATTTACTGCAATACACACGTCCTTGGATGGGTATGTAATGTTTTCTGTAAATTAATTCGTAATTGGGCTCTGACTAGTCTGAAAACAATCTGCCCAAGTCGACTCACGCTACAGGGAATGCATTATTTAACCCTTATATTTGTGCAATATTTTAGATTTCTTATGTGCCATGGTTACTTTGCTCTGACTTCTGTTTACTTCATTTCTGTACCCGATTCGCTTTTTTTTGGTGAACCCCCTGAGGTCAACCTTGCGAATGAGACTCGTCCTGCTCTCTTGAGTTCTCAGCTGGTTGAACAAAGTAAGCTTGACTTGGCCTGAGAACCCGGTTTAACACGTAGTAGGCTATCGCGAACAATATTATCCATAATACAGGTTTTGTCTTGGGTTAGATCACGTAAATATAACTGTGTCGTTAAACCCGCCACCACCTGACAAAGCGAATTATTAAGGTTTAACACGTAAACAGAAGGTGCCAATTCGTTACTAGCACAGCACACCAGTGTGTCGGAGAGTAAATCCACAACATTTACAATCTGAGTACGACGTTTCGCCAGTAATTACAACTAGCTTCATCAGGCGACAGCTAGATTTGTGGATAAATCCTCCTGTTACTCCAGTTCCGGCCAAGATACTGGGTTCGAACCCACAGCTCGGGAAATTATTGGTGCCAACTCACTGTCTGGCTTCCTTCCAGCTTGTCTGCGGCTCCTCGGCGATTGTGAGATGCAATTTGCATGAACGACGCTGTATACAACTAGACATTACAATAATTAGTATTATCATATACGTACAAGCTTTATAATACCCATTTATTTGACAAGTGTGCCATCAGAGCCACATTATGATGCAAGTGACTGCCTTTTGTTCAGCAAAGCCTGAAATCATGATGATGAGTATAGCCCTGGAGGATTATACCACAAAACTGCTGTACATGTGGCTGTTGTTGGAGAAAACACTTTCAGTGATGTTGGCCTCCGTAACTTCCATTGCTTAGCATTACAGCCGTGGCGGTGCTTTATGAAACTCGTGATGCCACTTCAACAGGAATTCCCTTTGCAACACTACAATGCACTTATTTATTCCCTGGGAATACGTAATCGTTCATATTATTCCTATACAATATGTATAAAATAAATTACTTTGCTTATCGTGTTTACTATTAGTGCGGCAGAGATGAGTGGCGCAGTGGTTAGCATCGTGAACGATGAACCCAGAAACGCGAGTTCGATTCCCATCCACAATTTAACATCTTGGTGGCGAGTGGGATCTGACTCGGTCCTGACCACCCTCACCTCGGCCACCTCCTCTTCCACCTCTCCACCAACCCACACGATGAAGTATGGTAAACAAGTCTCACGAGAGACACTGTGAGGACATGACCTTCTTCCTCCAGCAGGCGACTGGCAGAGGGCCCCCACGTGATTGAACTATGATGGTTCAACGCTTGTAAAACGTGAAATTGCGCAAACATTCCAGAAACATGTTGGCATCAATTTATTTAAATGCCTGCGGGCAAAGCTGCCGAGTGCGCGTGTGAATGTCGCCTTTGTGCGAAGCCCGAGGTGGCACCACACGCGTGGTTCCCTCTTTGGGAAAGTGGCACCTTTGCGCAAAAAAAAACATCTGGTGCAAAAATCACACGGCTTCCTCCTGCACCACCACCGCCACCACCAGGTCACGATTTCACCTCGAATGCGCAGCCAGTGCTGGCTTAAATGCCAGAGTGATATATACAGTACACACACACCTTATTCCGTGAACCACGAATGCCGTTGCAGAACCTTCGCCTGACTGGCTATAGGAACGTGGAGCCTGTAAGTTGACGTGTCCCTAGATCCTGCTAGTCTCAGGATAGTTGTCAGTGAGTGTAGTCAGAGACCTCCCCCCCTCCAGCCCACGAACCTGCACTGAGCCCTTGCGGAATACACCGCCTGCGTGCCCCTTCCGTACCGTCGGGATTCGTTCGGGGTTTTCGACGTCTCCGGTGCAGAGAAGGAACCTTTGCTCCGGCTGGGAGGGCGTCGTCGACCTCTGAACAGCCGCCTACGTCGCTTGTTATTATTATTCTACCACACTGTACTCTTTCCCCTCCCTCTTTCTCTCTCATCCTCCCTCTCTCTGCTCCTCACCCGGCAGGCAGCCAGTCGAGTGGCCCGGCCACGCACCTCACCCCCCGCTGTTGTGACCCAGCCTCTCCCTGCAAAAGATTTAGCGCGCACCCAGAGCCCCCTTCTCTCTCCCACGCTGCCAACTTACACAACATCCCCGTTCAAAACATTATCCCACACAAGCCACACCACACCGCCCGTCTGCCTCCACCCCCCCACCCTCTACTCACAGCCACCCAGCAATCAGTCGGCATCCACAAGGGGGTCGTGGCGGCGGCGAAAGCCGTCCCCAATTGATGGTCGTGTCCACTCTCAATTTGAACCTCAGCGCGAGATGAACATGGCATGGCTTAATCCCACGGGGTCAGTACGCCGTGGCTAGCAAGTGACCCTGCTGGTCGCTACGGATGCTTTGGGAGGACTTGAGTGGGAGCCGCTGTACGTGTAAGGCAGGTCGTTCATCACTCATTTTCAGAGGGGAGGGCCACAAGACGTCAGTGTTGAGGGCCGCCGACACATTTGAAACCATTGGGGTTGACAGCAGCACGATGATGATGATGATGAGAGGTGTTGTCACTCTTTGTGTACTGCCAGGGGCCCGCAGTGAAGAACAACGCTGTCGTAAAGTCTTCATCACTGGAGTTGAAAACCAGAATTACCGGGCTAAATTCGTGGGTCAGGATTAGAAAATGTCACGGGGGTGGATTAGCACACAGCTGTGAGTGGGTGAACATGTGGGTACCACCGCCTGGAATGAATATGTGATTGTTATAATTGTACTCTCAATTTCGCTTCGTTCTACTACAAAGTTTCAAGTATTTTTTTATAGTTATAATTACTTTTAATATTTTATAATTTTCAGAGAATTTCAATATTATATTCTGAACATCTGCAGTTTTAGTTAGACGTTGAATATTTTAAAGTGAATGTTATGCTATATTTCAGCTTTCCAACGCCACCTTTTTAATAAATGTTTTCTCCTACAACATCAGAGTGCAGCGCCACATTAAATAAGCACTACAATGACAATCGTTTAAAGCGACTTGAAGCATGTTTTATTATCAAAATGGAAATGTTTTTTTTGGGGGGGGGGGGCGTCAGAGCTTTGTGACGTCATATTTGAGGGGGGTCTGACTTTGTGTGACGCCATGTGACGAGGGGGGGGGGTCAAAATCGGCCAAAATCGCGTGACGTCATTTATAGACGGCCCCGAAGTTGTAGGAGGAGTCACCGCGATTAGAGGGGCGGGGCTAATGCAAGGGGCGGGGTTAAGTGGTGGAAGGGGGTGGTGCTTGAGGAGTTGTAGGAGGGGGCACGTTTGGGGGCCCAGAAGTCTGGTGTCAGGGGCGGGGCTCAGTGTGAGGGGGCGGGGCTCAGTGTGAGGGGGCGGGGCTCAGTGCCAGGGGGCGGGGCTCAGTGTCAGGGGGCGGGGCTCAGTGTGAGGGGGCGGGGCTCAGTGCCAGGGGGCGGGGCTCAGTGTCAGGGGGCGGGGCTCAGTACCAGGGGGTGGGGCTTAATGTCAGGGGGCGGGCTTAGTGTCAGGGGGCGGGGCGGGGCGGTAGGCGAGGGGGCGGGGCGCGCGGGTGCCGGGCAGGGCGCGTTGGGGCCACGTGACGAAGTGGTCCAACATGGCGACTGTAGCGGAGCGCTGAGTGGACTGACGAGGTGTCCCCTCACCTGTCACTGCTGCCGCCGTCTCCCCCCCCTCTCCTCATCCTCCTCGCCCTCGCCTCTCGTGCCCGGCCTCCTCTCTTCTGCTCGTCCACCTCGTCTCCCTCCGTCTCTTGCGCGGTGCAGGCGCCGATTATGGCGCGCTGGTGCCCGGTGGCGAAGGAGAAACACGGAGTCGGTGAGTTTGGGATGGCGGGGAGATGAGTAGAAGGAGGGCATGGCCGGGAGGTGCAGGGCTGTCGGGGGCATGGGGGCTCACAGGCTGGGCAGGGCAGAGGAGAGCGTGGTGGTGGGGGTGGTGGCAGGAGCGCAGGGAGAGGGTTGTGATGAGCAGAGCTGAGATTGACAGGGGAGAGTTGAGGCATGGCTGGGCACGGCTGCACATGGGGGCAGGGAGGGACACCTGAGGCGAGGTCCACTGGAGGTGTATGAGGTCCGGCATGGGAAGGGCAGTGCCCGGAAGAGCTGCACCTGGATGTCTTTGCCGGGCTCGGCAAGAGACATATACAAGAGTGCTGGACATGGCAGTGGGCAGGGATTTTGGGGCGAGTGTTGAGGTAGAACCCAGCAGTGCTGACCGGGGCCACGGCAGCGCCAATGCACGGGCAGTGTAGAGGTACGTCTCTTTAAAGTGCAACGCAGAATGTCTAAATTGCAGAAGAAGTGCTCACAGTGTGTATAAGGGCGCCTTCTATGGCAGTGCTGGTCTGGATAGGTCCCATTCATCAAAAGGAGCAGGGCTCGGTGCAGGATCGGTGTTGATTGCAGGGCAGTGCCGGGTTTAATGTTGGGGCCTTGGTTAGAAAGAGGGCACGAGGGAGCTGGCACGGATATGAAGGTGGGAATGCGAGCCAGGGTATGAGCGTGCGAGTCGTGGTGGGTATGAGATGCGGTGAGCGAGGGACGAGTGCGATGTTTATGTGAATGAAGTTTGCAAGGCAAATTGCCAAGAGGGTCGTCAATTGGATGCCCGACTCGCGTGTTTGTGCATTTGTGTGCACGTGCGGACGGGTGTGAGCGCATGAATGAATGTGCCTTTGGGGCCGTCCATAAATGACGTCACGCGATTTTGGACGATTTTTTACTCCCCCCCCCCCCTCGTCACACGGCGTCACAAAAAGTCAGACCCCCCCCCCTCAAATATGACGTCACAAAGCTCTGCCCCCTCCCCCCCCCAAAAAATAAAACATGCTTCAAATCGCTTTAAACTATTGTCATTGTAGTGCGTATTTAATGTGCCGCTGCACTCTGATGTTGTAGGAGAAAACATTTATTAAAAAGTATATTTAATGAAGTAGAACGTGTTGTCTATATTTATTTAAAGTTGCGCATTTTGATGTGACGTCACATTTATCAACCCCCCCACCCCTCGTCACACATCGTCACAAATGTCTGAGTCTGACCCCCCCTCCCCCCCAGGTGCGTGACGTCATTTATGGACGGCCCCTTAGTGTACGTGGAATTTGGATTGTGCACTCGCACCGTTTGAGTGTACGTCGCTTTCTCGCGTGGTGAAAGTGGTGGTAATTTTGTAATTATCCAATAGCGTTGGTCTTTTTTTTTAAACCCATTAGCTGTTGGCGTCGTTGTGTCGAGAGAGAGATATTTCGTTATTTGAGGTCTGGGGCAGCTGCCGTCGCTGGGTTGTATTCGCTGGCCACTTCTGCCGTCAGCTGTTGAGTTGTACAGTTGGCGTCTTAAAAACCCGCAGTGGCATGGAAACGTCTTTACGATGAAAACTCTTTCCACTCTGCACAGAACCAATGCCTGGCTCGCACACACGCAAACTTGTGCCATACACTCAAGCTCAACGACATCGTGTTTGTCCGAGTTGACCCCAAGCTGAGGTTTCAACACGGGACATGTAACCAAAACCCCACCAGCCCAGATGACACGGTCCTTTTTAGTATGCTTATAATATTATCTCGAATTAAATGGTTACCCATTGAGGAATTAAGCTAATTGCCCGTCTACTTTGGTTTGTGGTCGAGCGTTTGATTGCGCAGAGAAGCAGCGCTCGTTTTTTCTGACCTTGGATTTAGTGTTGTTGGAAAAATTGGAATGCGCGTTTAATTTCAGTTCCTATTTTGTACATTAATGCTGCACCTTTGTGAAATATACAAAAACCATTAACTCTTTTATAGCGGCGTTTCGGAGAATATTTTGAAATGGCAGTTGCGTCATCTTTGTGAAGACGTGTGCATGTAGAAAATAGTAAATGCCAGCCTTATGGAGTAAATGCCATCATGGGACCTCCTTTGGCAGTGTCAAAATATAAGAATAGGTTGTCCCCTTTTTTGGCAACGAAACAGGTGTTAAGATGTTAAAACACCGAACTGAAACCTTTTACAAGGAATCATGTCTGCATTAACCACAATACTTGTGGTCAGAATGCAAACAAAATACGTACTCTGATAATATATGCATTGTCTTTGAAACTGATTGGTCCACACCAGAGACAGCTTTCTTTCGAGCCTAGTCTCACACGGTGTTAGACCAGAGGACGCCCAAAGGCGTACAGCACAAAAACAAAGCCACTATCAGAGTAATGAGAGCTCGGGGTGAGCAGCTACATCATGGGACCTCCTTTGCCAGTAGCAAAATTTAAGAATAAATTTTCCCCTTTTTTCTGGAAACAAAACATATATATGCATATATTATCAGAGTACGTTTTTTGTTTGCATTCTGACCACAAGTATTGTGGTTAATGCAGACATTATTCCTTGTAAAAAGTTTCAGTTTGGTGTTTTAACATCTTAACACCTATTCTTGGTTCTTTCGGTAAAGTCACGTAAAACATTATTTTTTGACAATTTACATTTTTTATTGCTGGTTTTTTGCTTTTATTAATTTCAATTAATTATTTTTATTTTTTTGTTTCTTTTAATTATTTTTATTTTATTTTTATATTTTTTCAAAAATATTTAGTTTTCTATTTACGTGACTTTACCGAAAGAACCAAGAATAGGAATTCCTGCAGTTACGAAAGTTTTAAGTCAAAATCTTAACACCTGTTTTGTTGCCAGAAAAAAGGGGAAAACCTATTCTCATATTTTGGTGCTGGCAAAGGAGGTCCCATGATGTAGCTGCTCACCCTGAGCTTTCATTACTGTGATAGTGCTTGCAGACATGATTCCTTGCAAAAAGGTTTCAGTTTGGTGTTTTAACATCTTACCACCTGACAAAAGGGGAAAACATATTATAGTAAATGCCATTTTAGCATCACTTTTCTTTACAGTGTTTGACATTTTCACTGTAGATTATGAAACATCAGAATTCACAATGCTACGCACAAATTACTGTGCTGGGCCCGAGTTGTGGCCCCCGTACCTTTGGCGGGGGGACCCTTTATGAGCTCTTATCGGCCATCGAGGGTTCTTTTGAAAAAGTGTCAGTGTAGCTATAGGAAAGTCTCAGACTCGTTTTCTTTCATAGCTGCGGGCTTGTACAGGCTGCGTGCAATGGTCACCGATGATCGTGATCATTCTTTGCACACCACTTTTAAAAGCTCAGTGCAAGATATCTCGTTGTGAATGAAATGCTTGTATCTTGATAAAAATTATGTTTCGTTAAATATCCCCGTAATTGTACGGCGTTCCTTCACGCAGAACAATTGAACAGCGGCCTTGTGATGTTTCCTGTGGCAAGAAATGCAACGAACAAACCGGTTTCCTGAGTAAATGCACATCCTTTTTGTTTTGCCTTATGAGAACTCAAATTATGTTTGTCAATAATAACTTGGGATGTCTACCACAGTGATTTGTAGGTGGGCTTGCTGTAACGTGCAGGCATCTTTGGTATGAGACTCCCAACCTGCAAGTCCAAGAGTTGGTAGTCAGTGGCAGTGCGGAAAGTAACATAAATGAGCACAACTTGGTCAGCTTTTAGAACGGGGACATATTTGACATCGACATTTCCAAAGCACGCGCTCATCCTGTAATTCATTTCAGAAAGAGTTCTATAGTAGTGTTGCCCACAAAAAGGAGGCAAAAACAAGCAGCATGCACCTGTGAGAGCGACGCGCACTACGGAGAGGTGGCCTTGGCTTGCCGATCGCAGCTGGAAGTTCCTGTGGCCCCCGTGCCTTCGCCCACGTAGCTGTTCATGAAAATGTAAAACTGAGCACTTGATATTGTGCGTCATGGGATGCGGAGCGGCGCAGGAGTCGGCGTCCAGCTGCTCGTTGTGTGTGCTCAGGTCAACACAATATTTTGTTTGGAAGAATAGAGGGTTATTTATTGAACCGATCAGAGAGCCCGACTTTAACCCAGCAACTAAGAAACATAAACATGTATGTATGATTAACTTATTTTGCACCGTACGTAGCCAACCGTACTCAGCGGAGGTACGGAGGAAGGACAGGTACATGCTGCGTATAGGTAATTAAGGATAATGGTGATAATTGCATGCTGATGTTTCTGCAACTTTGACATTTTTTAACAGAACCTGGCATGATACGATTGTAGACTAAATCAGGAAGAGGACCTTATGGGTGAGACACATCTGCAGCATGCAGGATCGTTTACCAAGATGACATTGGAGTGGCGTCCTGAGGTCAGCGGTGGAGAGGAAGACCTCAAGCCAGATGGTGGTGATGACATAGTAAAAGCGGAGCTTGGAGGTCGGGTGGCTGACAGTGTAACACAGTTATTTTTCCTTCTGCATCTGGCAGAAGGAAAGAAGTGATGGCGAGGTGTGGTGGCATTTGTGGCACTGGTATCTACCTAGATTTTGATCTTCTATTCTGTGTTTATTTCTTGTTATACGATGAGTGAATGCTAATACGTACGGATTGTCCTTAAGATTTCGCCACATTCATTATTCAACTGAATTACACTTTATACAAACTTAAAAGATACCACATTATGGAAGCGTGCAAAATAAATATTATGCATGTGTCCAGCTGGTGGATGATGGCAATTTTAAGCGTGTAATGACCTCGCCGATCTTGGTCTCATTTCATGACTCGTACACAAACAACACTCGGAATGGAATGGAATTTTCCACAACCATTGTAAGAAACACAACAGCACTTCCCAAGCGACACGTTGGTAAAGATGGCATACCGTGCTGTTGCTATTACGTTTATAAACTGTCGCTGCAGCAACTAGCATCATCGTTTGTATAAAAGTATTGTTGTCTTCCCGGACCTTTGATTTTCGTGTTGTCATTGGCCGC